CATAAGTCGGAAACATCAAAACCCGACAAAATAAACTTTCCAGATGTCTAATAAAAAAAGAAAAAAATCAAAATAAAAGCTTTAATAAAAATTAAGTTGAGAGAAAATTGAGTGTCCCGTTCCTTCCCTCCTAAATAGCTATTCATTTGGCGCCAGTCGAACAAAAATAATAAAAATTAAAAAAAAAAGAAAAATGGATTATTTAAAAGAGCCAAGTAGGCGCACGGCCAAGTAGGAGCAAAGCCATAAATTGCTTTCAATATTTCCGAATCGTATCAAATTTAGTATTAAACGATTCCACTCATCGAGCTGAAGAGATTGGTACCGAAATTGGCAAGGTCCAGAATTTTCTGGCTAGTTATGGCTTTGCGCCGTTATGGACGCGCGCCGAAGTGGGCGTGTTCCTATTTAAAAAAGATGAATAAACTAAAAAGTATTTTAAAGAAGCGACGACACCAATAAATGTGGGAAAATTGGAAAAAATGCTAGAAAATAAAAGAAAAGTTTTTTTGTTGAAAAAGAAAATGAAGAATTGAGAAGTTTGGAGGGGGAAATAAAAATAAAATAAAAATGTGTGTTCATGCTTGGCGGCTTTTTTCTCCCCGATACAAACCCAATTTTGAATGGCATCGCTTTCTTTAAAAAAATAAAAATAAGGAGGAATTTTAGTAGAAAATTAAAGAGAAAAAAGAAAAAAATGGACGGATATGTCAAGTTTGTAAAAATAAAAAAATAAAATTAATGGGGGTTATAAAAATAAAGGAGAATTTTAAAGCAAAGAGGAACTGAATAATCGAGGTTTCTTCGGTATGGGTCAGGGCGCATTTGGAAAAAAATTTCCGCAGCCACAATCCGCAATTTTAGTTCTAAAATCCGTAAACTCAATCCGCAAGTCAAAGAAACACGCAATTTTACGCAATCCGCAATTGCGCTAACCCATTGTTCCGGTAAGAAAGTTTTACATAGGCGGAGAACTGACACTTGATATTACTACAGAGATAATAAAGTGAATTTATCGAAAAAAAAGGTCTGACCATTATGTACATTTTTTAAAAATGTACATAAAATGTTTTTTAAAAAAGTTGGATTGGTGGGGGGAGGGGGGATGATTTAAGTTACCGAATAAGGATGATGAAAAGGGAAGATAAAAATACAAGAAAAATAAAAATAAAGCTAGAAGATGATGAGGACGTTGAAAAACATAAAGGAAGGGAATGTTCGAGGCTTTTACGTTTTTAGAAAAAATTTCTTCGAAAATTTTTTTTGAAAAATTTCGTTCAAAAAACCCAATAAAAAAATTAAAAATTGTGTGTAAATTAAAAGAGGTTTTTCAATTTATTATTTTTTTTCTTTTTTATTTTTCTCTCAACAAACACACAAACAAAATCGTTGTCGTTAAAGTCAATCACCAATAATAAAATAAAAATAAATATTTTTCTACAACAAAAAAGTAGTGAGAAAAAAAAATATTTTTATTTATGATCGATTAACATTTACTCCAAATATCTTGTCGTTTATTTAATTTTTTTTGTGTGTTTGTCTTCCTAAAAATAAAAAAAAATTTTTTTATTCTTCTAAGAGAGGAGAGAAGGTAAAATAGTCGCGCAAAATGGTGTGTAGATTAAATAAAATATTTTATTAAATAAATACACGTACCCAATCAAAAAGTGCATTGAAGCGATAAAAATAGAGAAAAGAAAGGAAGGTAATTTTTAGTTAATTTCTGACAACTACTTGTAAAAATAATAAAAAGAAATTGACGAAAGAAAAAGTATTTTGAGATTGGTTAATTACATTATATATATAATAAATAGAAAATCTTTTTTTAAAAAAAAAATATCGGCCGGCCGAAGGCCGGCCGCTTCTCCGAAGCCTGACATCTTGGGGTAGTTTGGTACGGGCTATTCAGGAAAACTATAGAAAAAATTTTTGGGGGGTCGCAAGAGTCTCAAACTGAAACTTGGTTTTCCGTATCTCGAAAAAGTTCAATAGAAAGGTGGTTTGGGCCTGGGGCGAGGGCACTCCGCCATTGATAGTAGATAATGATAGAAAAAAATTCGGGTCGAAAAAGTTAAGTCTTAAGGTAGAAAACCCCGTGAGACTGAAACGTCCTACCCGTACTCAAATGGTTTTTCGACTGTAACTTTTTTTTGAATAGGCATAGCGGGATGGGACCTGGGGCGTTCCATAGGGTATCTGAATGCGCATTTAACGATATATAATATGTGGGGGTCACTTGAGTCTGGGGGTGGGGTACTTGAGTCTGAAGGGGGAAATTGCTTATATTGAAAAAGTCTTGCTGGGGCCCGACTTTGGGGGTGTTGGGTTATTTGTAGGCATAGGTATGAAGAACATATTTGTTGTTGGACATTTGAGTCTGAGATGAAATCCTGAAGAGTTATGAGTCAAAGAGTCGGTGCGACTCGAGTCGATTTTTGGAAGGTGAATTGAAACCCGTTTTCGATAGCTCATTCGAAAGAGCGTCCCCTGGCGGTCAGAATAAGGATAATATGTCGGGGGTCCACATGAGTCTCAGAAAGTTATGGGTCAAGAAGTGCTGAGACTCAAATCTTTCTGAGACTCTAACTCCATAGGGAATTTTGTCCTCCGAGGCCGAAGGCCGAGGAGTTGGCGGGCCGAAGGCCCGCCGTAGGCGAGGGCCGAAGGCCCGAGATTTCATTACATCTAAAAGGCAGAGCAATTGTCAAAAACAGACCATAGATCCTCCGAGGCCGAAGGCCGAGCAGTTGGCGTGCCGCAGGCCCGCCGTAGGCGAGGGCCGAAGGCCCGAGCAGAGCATAGATCCTCCGAGGCCTAAGGCCGAGGAGTTGGCGGGACGAAGGCCCGCCGTAGGCGAGGGCCGAAGGCCCGAGCAGAACATAGATCCTCCGAGGCCTAAGGCCGAGGAGTTGGCGGGACGAAGGCCCGCCGTAGGCGAGGGCCGAAGGCCCGGGCTTTTATCCCATCTTAAAGGCAGGGCAAGTGTCAAAGGCAGAGCATAGATCCTCCGAGGCCGAAGGCCGAGGAGTTGGCGGGCCGCAGGCCCGCCGTAGGCGAGGGCCGAAGGCCCGAGCCTTCATTACATCTAAAAGGCAGAGCAATTGTCAAAGGCAGAGCATAGATCCTCCGAGGCCGAAGGCCCGCCGTAGGCGAGGGCCGAAGGCCCGAGCCTTCATTACATCTAAAAGGCAGAGCAATTGTCAAAGGCAGAGCATAGATCCTCCGAGGCCGAAGGCCCGAGCAGAGCATAGATCCTCCGAGGCCTAAGGCCGAGGAGTTGGCGGGACGAAGGCCCGCCGTAGGCGAGGGCCGAAGGCCCGAGCTTTTATCCCATCTTAAAGGCAGAGCAAGTGTCAAAGGCAGAGCATAGATCCTCCGAGGCCGAAGGCCGATGAGTTGGCGGGCCGCAGGCCCGCCGTAGGCGAGGGCCGAAGGCCCGAGCCTTCATTACATCTAAAAGGCAGAGCAATTGTCAGCAGAGCATAGATCCTCCGAGGCCGAAGGCCGAGGAGTTGGCGGGCCGAAGGCGCGCCATAGGCGAGGGCCGAAGGCCCGAGCTTTCATTACATCTAAAAGGCAGAGCAATTGTCAAAGGCAGAGCATAGATCCTCCGAGGCCGAAGGCCCGCCGTAGGCGAGGGCCGAAGGCCCGAGCCTTCATTACATCTAAAAGGCAGAGCAATTGTCAAAGGCAGAGCATAGATCCTCCGAGGCCGAAGGCCCGCCGTAGGCGAGGGCCGAAGGCCCGAGCCTTCATTACATCTAAAAGGCAGAGCAATTGTCAAAGGCAGAGCATAGATCCTCCGAGGCCGAAGGACGAGGAGTTGGCGGGCCGAAGGCGCGCCATAGGCGAGGGCCGAAGGCCCGAGCTTTCATTACATCTAAAAGGCAGAGCAATTGTCAAAAGCAGAGCATAGATCCTCCGAGGCCGAAGGCCGAGGAGTTGGCGGGCCGAAGGCCTGCCGTAGGCGAGGGCCGAAGGCCCGAGCTTTCATTACATCTAAAAGGCAGAGCAATTGTCAAAGGCAGAGCATAGATCCTCCGAGGCCGAAGGCCCGCCGTAGGCGAGGGCCGAAGGCCCGAGCTTTCATTACATCTAAACGTCAGAGCAATGGTCAAAGGCAGGGCAAACTTTACCGGCGAGGGCCGAAGGCCCGATGCAATGAAAAGGCAGGGCTAAACCTTACCAGCGAGGGCCGATGGCCCGGAGCAACGAAAAGGCAGGGTAATCAAATATATTCCAGGCATCTTAACATTCTAGCAGCGCGCGAAGCGCGCCCCAAAGCCGATAGGCTTTTCAACGGGCAGGGCCCAATTTAAACCCAAAGCAAAATTAAACTGCCATTGCATACGTAAGTTACCGCCACGCATACGTAACTACAGCTAGTTAGATAAATAAAAAATTGGAAAGGAATGATGATAGGACTGAAAGGAAAAATTTTTTCTTCCTTTAAAGAGGCTATGAAAATCATTTTAATAAATATTCCCAAGTCATACTCAAATGGCCTCCCTTTCTAAAAAGTCAGACTTAAATGGCATTATGTGAAGGTTATTTGAGTCTAGCTTTATTAAAGACATCTTTCCCCAAAAATCTTTCTGTGAGATTCTTCTAAAATTGATAAACTCTCGAGTAGAGAGACATGATTATAAGGGTCGTAAGAGAATCGAGATTTCGAAAAATCTCTTAACTCAATAATCAAGATTTTTGTTCAAGGTTCCGTCTATATTCGATCATCGGTTAAAAGATGGGGGGGGGGGGGGGGGGTTAAAATATACAAAAGGAAGGGGAAGAGAATCAAAAAATGAGGAAGGATGAGATAAGTAAAAATTAGGAAGGAAATTCAAAGTCTTCTTAAAGGGGGCATATATGGTATCAAAGATATTTTTTGTGAGCCTCTCCCCACAAAAAATATGCTTTGATTTTTATTTATTTATATTTTTTTCTTAAATTATAAATTTAAATAATAAAAAATAAATTAATTTTACAACCCCAATAAAATTTTAAATCCCTATCAAAATCCTTTTAATTTCCAAAAAAGAATTATTCATTTTTTCATCCCCCCATTTACTCCAATCTGTTTGTGCTAATAATTCCAAAGCTAAATTAATTTGTTTTTCTTCTTCCTCCTCAATTAAAAGACTAAAAGCTTCGAATAATTGAGAGGCTACTTTTTCTCGAATTGCAGCATAGGGGGAGGTTTGTAGTGAGAAAAGAAGCTGAAAATTTTAAATAGGTTAGTTGTGTTTGGCCATAAAATTCTTGAAAATTTTCCAAAAATTTTCAAAAAAATTTTGAAAATTTCCAAAAAATTTTAGGCAGATTAAAAATTAAAAAAAAATTTTTTTTGAAGTTTTTGAAATTTTCAAAAAATTTTTCATGTTTCTGAAATTTTTCCTAAATTTTTTAGTAGGCTCTTAAAATTTAAAAATTTCCAAATATCAATTAAAAAATACACTGACCGCATTTAACGAATTTTTATACAATTTACTGTCAGATGGTAATTGAAGTAAACAACCCAAAGCAGAAACTGCTTCTAATTTAACTTTTGGTTTTCCTTTGGTTGTAGCTAACTTTAAATTAGAAAACTTTAAAAATTAGAGAAAATAGAAAAATATTTTTTTAGAGGTCAATTTAAAATTAAGTCAATTTAAGAACTAAAACCAAAATCTCTTTTGTCCAAAAACGAAACAAAAGTTTTTTGTGTTTTCTGTTTTTGGAAGCTCGTACCAATATTAATACTAGAACTCGAAATATCAATACGGGATACCGCAAAATACGGCTGTAGTACGTACCCATACTCAAAGCTGTTTGAAACTTTTTTTTAAGCCTATTCGAGTTTGAAACTCTCGGATGGGCTTAAAACAAAATTAATATAAATTTTTTACCTTATAAATCAATTTATAAAAATTTGAAAAAATAATTGAATCATCCGGCCTTTCTTCCAAACATTTAAGCTGCCCATCATTAAATAACATTCGAAATAAAATGAGTATAGGTGTAGGATCAATTTGACGTTCAGAAATTTTTGTATTAATTAAAAGTAAATTGTTGAGGAAATTCTCGATAAACTTTTTGAAAAAAAATTTTTTTGTTAAATTTATTTTTTTCAGTAATAGTAGGGTCTCGGTAGGGTTCAAAACAATAGGGGGTTCTCGGTTCAGAAAAAGAACAGAAAAGAAAATCTACTGGTAGTTAGCGAATCAAGCATGGCATTTTAAATCTGAAAAGTTATCCAAGTTAACGAAACCCGAATTTTGGATTTCGGGAAGGAACCAAAGATTTTTCGGGTAAGTTATCCCGTTATAATGGATAAAAAAGCTCTCTAATTTCGTATACATTTTATTTATTAAAAAATTTTTTTTTATTATCATCACCTTTATATCCTTTTTATGAGGTTTTAAATATGAGACAATTGCAAGAAATGCATTTTCCATTGTCCAAGCACAAACACTTCCTTTTTAATTGAAAATAAAAGAAAAATTTCTTTTAATTTTTCTAAAATTTCCAGAATTCCGTAAGAAATTTTTTTGGAAAATTTTTAAAAAATTCCAAAAATTCAAAATTAAAAAAATTCCCCAAAAAATTCAAAAAAAAATTTTGTTTCTTCTCAATTTACCAGCAGATAGCACAAATCCAGACAATGCAAAATTACCATACGTTGTCGAATTTAATAATAAAGATAGCCGTTCAAAACCTTTAGAAGTTAACCAATCTTTACTTGAAAATTCTTTATTATTTTTGTCTTCTTTTTTTAAATAAAATATTTTTTCAAGTAAATTAAATTCTTGAATATTTAAGTATAATGAATGATTATTGCCATCAATTGAAGTTACCAATTTTGTAAGTACATTACTTGCTTTCTATAAAAAAATTTTTTTTTGAAGAAAAAAAAGTTTTTGTGCTGCTAAGTAGAGGTCAATCGGAAGAGATCAGAAGAGGTCTCCTTCAATCAGAAGAGGTCAGTCGGTATTCCGATTTCCAAAAATTTAGGCTGATTTCCGAGTTCCGACTTTTGGCCGAAATTCCGATTCCCGACAGTTCCGATTTCCGACACCTTCGTCATTTCCGACCGACCTCTGGTGCTAAGGAGGAGAGGGTTGTTGCCGGTATAGTCTTCGTTATATACAATGACCGTGCAATCACCGGGCATGGTCTTCTTCTTAAGACCATGCCCGGAAAAATACTCCTTTGAATATTTTTTACTCTTAAAAATGACTTAATCTCCTTATGGGTTTTCAACTTTTAAGTAATGTAATTAAATCCATATTTAATATTCGAGCCTAATTTTTGGGCTCATTAGAGGTTCCTTAGATTTTTTTACCTGACGTAAATCATCAATAGATTCACAAGCTCTCTCAATAACTTTTCCAATAGATAAATTTAATTGTTCTTGTAAAATTAAAATTTTCCCTTCTTCATTAACTATTAAAGGCAACAATTCCCCAATTCCTTCAATTGCCGCCCTTCTACAAAATCTTCCAATATTTCCATTTGTTGTTGTTGTGTAATCATCACTTGTTTTATTTAAAGAATCAAATATTTTTTGCCAACAAATTTTTTGAGAATATAATAAATTTTTTGAAGATGATGTAGAGAGATTTATTAAAACTGTAACTAAAGTTTCTATTGCAGCAACTCTTGCAAATACCCATTTTGGTGTTTTTTGGCTTTAAAAATTAAAAAAAAATTTTTAAGAAAAAATTTTTTATAAATAAACCCAGCTTTCCTTTTCATTATTAAGTGGAAAAAATAATTCCAAAAAATTTTGGGAATTGCCCACAAAAAATTAAAAAATAAACAGCCCATTCAGGGGTCGTAGGATAAGAGACCACAGACATGAAGAGACCACATCTTCACCTAACAACTAAGGTTGTCGGATCCGGATCCGAAAAAAGGCCGGATATCAGAAAATTTCGGTTCGGATATCGGTTCCGGATCCGGATATCCGAAGATTTACAACTAACCGACAACCTTACTAACCACCTCTTATTCTACGCCCCACGGGGCTATTTAATAATTTAAGAAAAAAATTGCCCACAATATTTACATCAGAAAAAAGATCCCAGGATCAAGTTCTCTATATCCAAGTCTTTAGAAAAAATAAACTTACTCGAGAATAACTACAATTAATTTTTCAATTACCATATTTAATAATGATAATTCTTTTTCTTCTTTATAATCAAAATTAATATCCAAAAATTCAGGTAATAAAAATGCAAGTGGACGAATATTGCAACAACAAAGTGATTCTGTTGTTTGGTTTGATTTTTCAATCTAGAAAATTATTTTCTTGAAAATTCTTTGAAAAATTAAAAAAATTTTTTTTGAAAATTTTTTTTATTTTTTTCAAAAATTTATCGAGCTTCAAAAAATTTTCCAAAATTAAAAAGAAAATTTTTTCCTTCACAAACCTCAGGAAAATATTTATTTTTCAGCCTATTCAATAATTGATCAAGATTATTTCCTCTATAATAAGCCATTAAACTAGGAAATGCTTGTTGGGCATAAATTGATAATTGATTGTTTTCTTCACCAATTACAGCATCCAAAATATTGTGAAATTTATTGAGCTTCAAAAAATTTTTTTAATCAATTTTAAAAGGCATCTCCACAGGGAAGATTTTTATAAATTTAAATTAAATAAATAGACAAACACCCCATTTTTAGTTCAATAATAGAGTTGTTTCATGGTCGGTTAACCGAACCGGATAAATAACCGGTAGTGAACAACCCTATTCAATAAGTAATACTCATTCACATTAATTCGTTTTTCCTGTTTTGCCCTGTTTCAAACAATTTGAAAAAATTTCAAAACTTTTTTGAATGTGAAGAGGGGAGGGTCCTTCGGTTTGGAACAACACCCGAAAGTTTTTCGAGTCGGTTCGGTTCCAGATAAATCGAATAATAGAAGACATAACCTTAGTGGAGAGACAAAAACATTTGGTTTGTCAAAATAAAGTGTTCCCCAAAGTAGTCTAAAATCCCTCCACATTAAATGGAGAGGCTTTTGACATTTTTCAATAAATTTTTAAAAAATGAAAACCAAAACCAAAAATTAAAAAAGAAAAACCTGTTCAACATCCAAAACACATTCAATAGTACATAGAGCTCGAATAATTCTACACAACGATTTTGCATTAAGCGAAAAACCTTTTTTGCGATGATCATTTAATTGGATTGAATTGACATTAATTGCATCGAATAATAAAGCTGAATATTTTTTGAGCACTAGGAAAATAAAATAATTAAAATAAATTTAAAAAATACTATAAAAATCACCAATCAAACCCACAAATACCCCCTTTGGAACGAAAAAATCGAAAATATAAAAATAAGGGGTATCTTAAATTGATGAAATATTTCTTAGGCAACTCTCACATCGACCCAATGGCTAACCAAATTTAAATATATCCTAAATTAATATGTAAAAAACACAAAAAACGCCCTATACATATTTGAGGGTATCTAAAAAGCAGAAGTTTTAAAATCGGTAGTCTAAAAAAGTCAAATCCGGATATCTGAGGGATTTCCTAGTTTAAGCCAACCATCACACTGGGAGTATCTAAAAAAAAGGTTCAACTAGAGATTAGAAGAATAAATTTAAAAATAAATTCAAAAATTAATTTTATAGGAAAAAACCTTGTTCCCTTCGAGAAGACAAAGCTTCGATTAACCCAGCAACAGCAAAAAACGCCCCATGTTTTTCATTTAAATCCAAAGAATTTAATCTTTTAAATAATTTTGGAAGTAACTGAAAATACGTTAAAAAAATTCTTCAAAAAATTAAAAAGAAACCTCATTTTCGGAATATTCAAAATCAAAAGGGGCCAATTTTTGTAAAGCTTCAGCAGCCAATTCTCTTATAGATTCATCCCAATGTCGGCATTTCAACTCAACTAAATGATCAAGCATTGGCTGGACATATTCTGGGAATGAAGCAACCTAAAAAAATTTTTGACAAAATAAAATATTTCCCAGTATTGGACATTTCGAAAATTTGACATTTTGAAACAAAAAATTTAAAAAAAATCTTGAGAAAACCCCGAGTCTGCTCGGAATCCGGATAAATTCCGCCGGACTCCGGAAATTATTTTTACTAGACTAAAGCCGGACCGGATTAGTCAGAAAAGATTAGGCCGGATCCGCTCCGCCATGAGTGTGAAATCTAAAACACGGTTTCCGGGTCCGATAAAATAATTTTGTCAGTTAATTTTAAAAAATCAAAAAATTTCTCATTGACAGAAAACTCATTCAAACCTCAACAGATATTTCCAAATAGCAGTGCCTTATTCTTGCAATTTCACCAAAATCGATCAATTGAAGTACCGGAATGCCATGAGGAAAGGAATCGTTACGGCCAACATTTTCCTTTGAAAGAAAAAATTTTTTTTGAGTTTAACGAATTTTTAAGAAAAAACTTGAAATGAAGCACTAGCCGCCCTTCTAACATTAACTTCTCGATCAAATAAAGCAACTGAAAGTAAAGTTCCAGCAAGAGGTTTTAAATGTTGTCGAAGAAATTTTGCCTAGTTTTTATAAAACAGAAATTTATATTAATAAGAAAGTCAATTCAGAAATTTTAAATAAAAAAGCCTAAAAGCCCATCAATAAAAAAAACCAAGCAGCTTAAAAAATTCAGCAATATCACTTGACAGAAAATAAATTTTCGTCCGCAAAAAACTTGCGGACAAAATTTTACGGACATTTTTTTAAAAATATTCCCCCTGTCGGCAAAAAACTTCCGGACATTTTTGAAAAAAATTAAACCTCCACTTATAAAATTTTATTTCAATGACCCCAAAAACAAATTTAAAAAAAACCTCGTAAGCCCTAGCAAATGCCCAACATATATAACAAGAAGCATCTCTAATATTTAAAGCTAGCACACTACCAAATTGGTTTGAATCAAAAATAAGAGAACGTGAAAGTACGAGTGAAATAGCCTTAAAAATAAAATTAAAAAAAAAATTTTTAAGAAATTTGTCAAAAAATTAAACAAAAACTTTTGGAACTTGTTCAGGCAAAAGACATCCACGACGACAAAGTTCAGCTAATACCAAACATCCACCCATCCAAGAACTGGCAACATTTGAGTCTGTTTTGTCGTCAAAAATGTCTTTAAAAATTGATGAGACGACTTGGGCTGCCATCTTGAAAAAAATTAAAAAAGTAAGGAGAAAAGACAAGTTTCTGTCATAAAACAAACGGCACTCCTGCCGTTAAAGGGGGCGCCGTTCTCTGACCGTTATGAGGCCATAATCATTTCACCAAAGTTCATTGTCCCACGTCATATTGTTGAAAAATGCTAGTAGGGATTAAAGAAAAAATTACATTAGTCTCATAACGGTCAGAGAACTGCGGCCTCCTTAAACGGTAGGAGTGCCAAACAAACTATTCTCCACAACATAAAAAGGGAGAAAATCTAGGCCGTCGTCTCCTAATCAAGGTTTGTACAGGTTCTCCCTCTCAAGTCTTCTGCCAATTTATAATAAAAATTAAAGCCTCAAGGACCCAAAAAAATATAAAAAATTCTAAACCTCCAAAGGAATTCGAGCACATATTCTAGCAATTCCTTTAGCACTTGTCCATCTAACCAAATTGTCTCGGTCACGCAATTTTAGTAAAAGTTGTCCCAAAATTATTTCAATCAAGTCGAAAGGAATATCACTGTCGTCATCATCATTTTGAGAGTTCTCTTCTTCATTTGCATGGCATCTTGTATCTATTAACATAAAATTTTTTAGCACCTTTCGAAAAGTTTGTGGGCAAGAGGTGGGTACCCTTACCCAAATAAGAGAGATTTAGCAAAGATTGAAGGTGAGGTAAGTCTGGCCCCGAGCAGGCATCGATTCTTCTACATCCCTTCTGGCAGATATCGCTAAAAGTTAGCTATTTTGCTCACTACGTACCACCTAAGGTCTGTCGGATTTCCGAAAATTTAGGCTGATTTCCTATTTTTGAGCCATTTCCGATTTCCGACAGTTCCAATTCCCGGCAACTTCACCATTTCCGACCAACCTCTGTTACGTACAAGTTCCTTACCGACTGTGCTAGCACAAGGATGCTGGTTTCACCTTCAATTTTTAGTTCTCCTAAACCCCATACCTAGTAAGGGGCTAGCTAGTTAAATACCAGGGATGGGCCGAAACAAATTTTAAAAAGCGAAAGATGAAAAGGCGAAATACCAAAAAAGACGAAAATAATGCGAAAGACGGCATACCCTTGTTGAATGCTAGCCTGTCGGATCGCCCCTTCTTTTTAAAAAAATTCATTAAATTTAAAAACCTTGTAAAGACGTCGCAGAATCAATTTTCAAATTTTTATCTCTCCTCAAAGTTTCCTCAATAGAACGATAACCACAACGATAACGCCAACTAGCAAGTTTTGGGCGAAGCAAAACAAGTGAAATTCTTTGTAAAAGTTTTGAAATTAAATGGCGAACCAAAATATTTGGACATTGGGAAAATAAAAAACTTGAAAATAAAAAAAAATTTTTTTTAGAAAATTTTTAAAATTAAAAAAACTCTTTTGAAAGTGAAGAAAAAAGGTGTTCAGTAAATGGTTTAATATCTCTTCTACGGCCCTGAAAAAAAATAAAAAACGTTATAGAAACTAAATTTTAAAGGCAAAAATTCCCCCCAAAAATAAAAGTAAAAATTAGACTGTCAAAAAAATTCCAAAAAAAAATTATTTTTTAGCACAATTTTTTATAAATATTTTCTTTGGATAATTTTTGAAGGCTCATCTCCATTTTAATCTTAAAAAAAAATTTTTTTTTCAGCCCAAAAAAATAAAATTTTCATTAAATTGTGAGTCAGTCAACAGACCTAGGCCCGAAGCCAGATAAATTTTGATTTTTTTTTGCGGACATCACATTTGCGGACAACCTATGGCAAAAAATATCTGATAACCTAATGGTCCATTCAGGTTTGTAGCCATGGGTCAAAATTTTCAAAAAATTCATTGAAAATTTCGGCCCAAAGCTATGGACCTAAATGGACCAATAAAAGTTATCGGATCTATTTCCACCGTTCGTTTGTCCGCAAATGTGCTGTCCGCAAATATCTGTCCGCAAAAAATATTTTACTTTAATAAAAAATATACCCATTTTAGTAAAGCATTGGCCAAAGCTAATTGATTAATTAATTGACGTCCACCATCCTTTTCACTTTGAAATTTGTCAAAAACATTTTGAAAATTTAAAAAACGAGTTTCCAAAGCTTTGGTATTGACTGGCGCTCTAGTTAATATTTGGGCTAGTAAAGTTGGGACGACTGACTGAAAAAAATTATTTTTGAAAAATTAAGAAAAAAGAAACAGGCTGAGGCCGATTTTCAGTTTTTGAGTTTGATCAGCTTTGGATTCTTCGATTCTTCGATTATAACTGATTAATTAAACACACCAGTTTTTAGATCCTATTTGGTTAACCTCCGTCATTTATCCTACTAGAATTTATTTTTCAAATATTGATTTTTTTAGAATGGAACCCTTGAAATGCTTTGCCCCTCTAACAATAAAAAAATCTCCCACAAAATTTAAAATCACAGAGGAAATCCATCTTTTTGTTGGAACAACTTTATTCGTTGTAGGAAAACACCTATCGAGTTCATACCGTGGAAAAATTCATTAGATGGGAGATGGAACTGAACCATCATGGAATGAGCATAACCGACTTCCCTCTGATGGGTTATTTATTTTCATTTATATTCTTCTGCAAGCGTGGACATAACAATAACCTATATTTTTGTTATTTTCTGAGTTTGGTATTTCGGCGATTTTTTGAGGAGGGGGCTTGATATTACGGCGCTATCCCTTACACTTTCAAATAATTTTCAAAAAAATATAAACAAACCATTGCTCCATCAACAGTTTCACTTTTCAAAATTTCATCTAAACAATTCACAATATTTTCTGCAAAAGAAGCAGAATTTGTTGTTTTAGTTGTTAAATCATTCCTCGAATAACGCAATTCTAAATTGAAAGGATTTTTGCAAATTAACATTAACCAGATAACAAGCATTTGAATTAATATTTTGTTTAAAAATTTGTCTTCTTTGGGACATGTTGACATTTTTGTTATTAAATGTTGAAGGCAAGAAAGGATTGGGTCGAGTAGTTCAAACTTGAAAAAAAATTTGAGAAAATTAATTAAACCCAGTACTGGTTGGGCAATAATGCACCAAAATATTAGACACTACTTTCATTCTCCTCAAAGACGGAAGAGAATTTGAAAAAGCTGAAACGAAGCTCTGAGAGTCAGTTCTTGAGTGAGCTAACTCCAACCTGAGCTGAAGCTAACAATAAGATTTGAAATAGGTCGGAGCCAAAAAACACCCAAAAAACAAAAACTGGAAGAGGGTCAACGAATTTTTATGAGACGGAAACTAGAAAGAAAGCTCCAGTAGCCCATAAGTCTGTAGAGAATTTATCAGAGCCATACAAAAATTTCGTTTCAAGATTGCTTCCACAAAATGAGAGGTAAGGAAAAGGATAGCTTCCCTATTTTCATTAAAGCTAGAAAGAAAAAACACCCCAAACACAATTCTGGTGAATCAGAAAAATCGTAGGGAAATAACCTTTTGTCGTAAAATGGGTCGTTAATATCACACCGACAAAAAAAGAAAAAATGAACTGTAAAAGCGGCCAAAGAACTTTCAATAAGGCTAGAGATGGGAAGGAGTCCAGAAAACATCAAAAACAAAAAAAATCATTAAAAAACCTCATGCGGAAGAAGCCTCATTAAAAATTTATAACCACGGACAAGACACAAAACACGAAGGTAAGTCAGCGCTACAATGCTTGAATTATCTAAAATTTGGAGTTCATCAGGTAAAGGCCATCTGATATGTTTAATTAGTCCAGCTACCAACTCATTCAGTGCTGGGTCCAAAAGTTGGGGTTCATCTCCATAAAGTTCAACAAGTCGTTGGAATTGTTCCAAATTCTGTTAGGATGAAAAAATAATTTTTAGAACTAACCAAAGAAATTTTAAGAGAATTAGAAATAAGAAACCTAAAATATTAAAAAAATTTGCGGACAAAACTTGCGGATTTTTGCCGTTAAGGAATAAAATAAAAAAAGATACTCTTCTTGCCTCAAAAAACTGATCAAAATTTAACGTTATTTTTAAAATCAATCCAACCCCAGATTCGACCTCCAAAAATTTTCCATCCTAGTTTTCATTCTTTCTGTGGACCAATAAACAAAGGCGTATTCAGGGCTAGGATTTCAGGTAAGAGGATTTAAATGGGAAGTGCACTGATACGGAAATTTTGTTGGATTTTAGAAGACTAATCGGATGCAATTGACAGTTATTTTTTCCCGAACGTTTTTCTTTTCCCCAAGTTAGAGAGAAGGGAGCTACAGACCTACTCCTGGGGCCTATTTCAATTGTCCGCAGATTCTGCATTCAGTGCACAGAATCTGCGGACAATTGAAATAGGCCCCTGGATACATACTTCCCAATAAAACAACTAACCCTCAAAAAAGCCCCCTTAAATCTAAAAACTTTTAGTAACCTTTTCTTCCATGGATTTTGCCGTTTCATTTGAAATTTGCGAAACTAAAAACTTCAATTTAGACACATGCTCCTCTTCCAGGTGAATTGGTGTACATCCAACAAGACAAGAAGTATCCATTCTTATCTTAAAACAATTGATTGGTCTAAATGTTTAAGAAATAAGCAAATTTAATTTGATAACAATAAAGTATTTGAGGTGTTTAATGCCTTTAAAAATCCGCAAAAACTTGAAAATTTGCGTATGTCCGCAAAAATTTTGCGGACATAAACTTTTGGATTTTTTGCGGACGTTTAAGAGAAAAGGGAAATATAAAGGAAAATATCCAAGGGAAATATCAAACTAGTTATTTAAACTATCCAAAACCACAACAAAATTCAAGATTAGTCTCTAACAGAAACAAGAGATCAAAAAAGATTTTTGCGGATTTTAGGCAAATACACTTTAACTAAAAAATAAAAAATTTCGTCAACAATAAATTTACTCAGAAAAATCATTTAACAATTTAACACACATTTTTAATCCTTTAACACTCCAAAAGACTCCTTCCTTTCTTTTCCCTTTTATTCTCCCTATTCATTTAAAGTTTCAGTTTTGTGCGGCGCCAATGACGACGTTTTGCATTATAGCGTATACGACTGCCAGTTTTCATTCGAACCCTGAAAAAGAGGTTATAAAAAAGGGAAGAATTGAGATTTTGATTATCTACCAAACTTTAGTTGAAAATGGAAGGTCTCCCGGAATGGGTACCAAAAAACATTTTTGCGGATTTTATAAAAAGTTTTGCGGATTTTTACCAATAAACATTGAAATGTATTAAAAGGGCCAAGTCCAGGAAAAAAGAATGCTACCAAGTCCAGCTATTTTATTCAGCTACAGGCTAAACATGGATCCTTTACTGGACTCATGTCAGGCCAAGAACCTACCCAGACAAGAGATTTTAGCCCAGTCCAAGGATTCAAAAAAACCACAACTTCTATTGACCCAAAATGGGAGTCCTATCCTATATGAGAAGCCCTAAAAATAAAAGGATATACCTTATAGAGTTGGGTCTGGACCAAGGCCTAGGTTTCTTATGTACCGGCCCAGGCATTTTTTACCTTCCTGGGTGTATTCCTGGACAACACGCCAAGGATCCGGCCCAGGTCAATGAATCAAACACACAGTCCAGGAACCGGCCCAGGGGTCTCAAAAAGCTCGATCTCTAATACCTTACTAGCCTCTCTTAAAAATTCAATCAAATCATCCACGTAAAAATAAAAGTCAGGAAATCTAAAAATCATTTAACCTCAAAACCTCCCAACCCTAACCTCCCTCTAAAAGCTTCAAACTTTTAAAAATTAAAAAAAAACCATTGCGGCAGCGGTCGATTTTGTTTAGCAGCTTTAGCCAGCTTGCGCTTGATAATAAACGTTTTGTGTGCAGCCATTAAATTGTTGACTTTATCCAAACTTTTTTTGAAGGCAATAAACAAATTTGAATTTTTATCTAAAAAAGAGAAGGGAAATTGATTAAACACAAAAATTTAAGGAAAAATATTGACAAATAGAGACAAAATCATTACCAAGATACAAGATAAAACTCAATTCTGAGCTAAATTTTGACTACCAAACCCGACAAAAAATGAAAAAACTTTTAACGATTTTCCATCAAGAAATGGAGTACAGCCCAAAACGGCGCGCGTCCATAACGGCGCAACGCCATAACTTGCTGGAAAATGACTGGCCCTTATTAATCTTGGTATCAATCTCTTTAACTCGCTGAGAGGAATCGTTTAATACCAAATTTGGTAAAATTCGGAAATCTTGAAGGAAGTTGTGGCTTTGCGCCGTTATGGCCCTGCGCCGTTTCGGGTATGTTCCCCAAAAAACAAAGTTTACCATTTCCAATCTAAAAATTACCAAAATGAAATAAAAGTTGACAAAATGAAAAATTAAAAAACATTTCGCCAAAGTGACAATTTTTGTTTGTTTAAAAAGAAGACTTTTAGGTTAAACTTTATCGAACACAAAAAATGTGAAACAATAAAATAAAAACTCCTGGATCCATAGGATCACTTGAAGAGTTACGTTATACGGACAGCAAGAAAGGGTAAAAATACAAAAGGGGATTTAAATAAAATGAATATCTGTCAAAAAATAGTTGCGCAATTTATCAAACTCCAAAAAAGTATACAATTCAATGATAAAGAATGGAACTCAAACATTGTTCGAGTCCTTGTGGTGAGGTAGGTAGGTACTAAAATGGGACACGACCGGTTAACCACCCGGTTAATTTTTCCTTGTGGCGGGTCAAATAGAGAAAATTTCCAAAAGAAAAGACGAGAATTATGCGTCGCCACAGGGAAGAACTAAACGCTAGGGAAGTCGTGTCCCACTCTAGTAGTACCGTTTTATCTCTAATAGAATGCCCGGCTATTTTACTTTTCAATTACCTTTCAAAGAGGCATTCAATTAGAACTAATATGGTCATGTAGGGTTGTTACCAGCTGGAACGGAGGGGGGGGGGGGTCCGTGAGGTACTCGCTTAAGTTTCCTTCTCACATCAACAAATCAGGCTTTTTGGCGTTTTCCACCTTCGATTGGTGTACGGAATTTTCGTCCCCATCGGAATATTCGTCACCAAGTCAAAAAACGGAATGTTGGCCACTGAAATTTTAGGCGCACGGAATTGAGGGCGTCGGAGTGTTTTTATGTCCTCGTCAAGGATATAATTTACAAGCGAGTAAATAAAGATGGATAACAACCCTAATGGATAGGAACAACCCGAAATAAGCCTACAGTAAAATTCAGACTAGTTTTTCTAATAATTTCTTGAACGGTTCAAGTACATCTATAAAGTGCTGCGCTTTTTCTAGCACTCGTATTGGCACTTCTTTCAACACATCATAAAGAATCTCTGCTAAATTGTGTTCTGTTGCCTCTGAATTCTTGTACTTTTTAACCACTAAAAGTGCATTCTCAACTGCCCATCGACCTTAAAATTTTAAATAAGTATTGCAAGTGGAGATCCAACGTCTCTAGCATTTGAAACGCTTAATAAGCGAAGAATCCTAATGGAAACCCGCTCAAATTAGATCCCTTGAAAATAAGTGCCATGGACTTCTATTAGGACATACATAAATCTTAAATCGGCAGGTTCCTGCAATACATGGTGAGCAAAAGATCGCAAGATCGACCTGCTTGGAGCTATGTAAACCTTAATCCCTTTGTTGCTATATTAAATGTCCAACGTCTCAAACCCTTTCTCCTTAAGTTTTTTAAAATTGCTGCCTTAATGGATCTTCCTATTACACTTTTAAATAAGCTTGCCTGTGCTCATTCCACTAAGCGTCTTAAAATGTGGACTTGTATTTGCATCACCTACAGCCACAACAATTGCAGAATCCTTAGTTCCTTGAATTTGTTTTACTGGATTCTCAACTCGTTTAATTTGAACCCAAAATGTGTTTGTATTTATGGTGTTCTTGTCAAATTTAAGAATATACTTTCCTTCTACCTCAGCATTATGACCCTTCTCCTCCTCTTCTTTTTCTTCTTCAACATGCCAAACTACTTGGTCTTTATTTATAACAGAATTGGCATATTTAAAAAGAGCTCTAGCCCATTTTCTTTGCAATTTCTCAAAGAAAGCGTGATGCATTAACAATTTCTTATTATTCTCTCTCAATAACCGCACACTTCCACTTGCATTTCTTTTTCTGACAAGCTCATTTCCAATCTTTTTAAAATCCTCAATAAAATCAACCAATGCCGGAGGCGTATTTGTTGACATATACAAGAGCGTATTTGTTTCAAACAAGCATATATTTTCCTCAAAAACCTCCTCTTTTACAGCTTCAACATGTACTTTAGTACCAAATCCTCTTCCTCTTTTCTTCCCCCTCTTTTCTGTCCCACAAATTTTGTCTGTCAAATCGACATACTTTCGTCTAAGTGCAGCATAAGGAAGAAATTCAGACTTTTTTAACAAGTCATCCAATCCCTCTTCTTTTATAAACTTCTGCATTTCAACAACAGGTTTAGTAAAGGCGTGGGCACCATTAACGACATCTTTGCTTAAAATGTATTTGTTGAAGATTGTGACGCCGTAGTTTACAGCATTTGTCAAGTCTTGTGGTTCTCCTAGAATTGAGTTAAATTTAAGAAAAGTCATTCTGATAGTGTAAGGTGTAGGATCCAGCTGGCTAGCATTTAAAACTGTTATTAGTCGGGGTTTAGGATCCATTAAGAGAGAGCGCCCCAGAGGTGGGTCGGAATAATCAGAGGTGTCTGAAATCGGAAGAGCAGGAAATCGGAACTGGCTCAAAAGTCGGAACTCGGAAGGAAAAAAACGTCGGAAATCGGAATTCCGACCTACCTCTGGAGCGCCTCGATAGGCTCAGTCGGTAAAGAACCTTTACGTGGTGAGCGAAAGCTCTTAGCAATAACAGCCATGCCGCGGTATCCATGCCTGTCCGGAGCTTCATTTTTACACAGCGTTAGGCGTTACATTGGTACACAGGTACCCCCAGTAAAGCACATAACAGTCCCATCAGAGCTGCACACAATTGAGGATTGCGAGTTGCGGATTGCTAGTTGCGGAATCTTTTTCCAATCGCGTGCGGCCCTGAGTCCCAAGCCCTTATTTGTAAAATCTCTAAAAGTAAATACCCAAAATTTTATCACGAATTTTATCATTTGCACCACCAGCACAAAAAAGAAGATCAAAAGGTATTCCTACTTTTTTACTTCCAATTTCAGTTTTATTCAACTCTCTTGCTCGAAAAGCTGAAATAATTTCATCGGGTATCAACCCGTTCGAATTGCGTTGATTTTCCCGAACACCAACAACAACTATCGGTTTATCAAAATTCTCATACAAAACACCCAAAACTGCAATTTCATAAATTAAATTCAAAAATGATTTTTCCTCCTCATTTTTCTCCTTTCCTTCTTCGCTTTCCTTCTCTTCTACAAATTCAGATATTTTCTTTAACCGCCCCATTAATGCAAGTTCCATATCTTTAATGCTAATTAAAACAAGCTCTTCATCAAGCATTTTTCCCACTGAATTTTGATGAATAAACAAGCTATCAAATTCGGTACCAAAAAAGAAACGCAACTGTGAGACCCATTTTCGATCAAAAATGACGAGTTGATTGCGGATATAATTTTCGGAACGATCATTTATGACTGTTACATTCATTCCATCTGAAAATAAAAAAAAATTTTGTATAGGAAAATTTTCGTGGGTGGACACAATTTACAACGACATGACCAGATTTGTATCAGGGTTGAGCCAACCCGCTTCCCGAAAATTAGGAATTGATGACGATTTTAGCCCGATTTCCGAATTGGGAATTTTTGTTTTATGTCGGCGCGATCCCTGGCCTTAGTAACAACAGGTAATTATAAAGTACTATGTTAACCAACAAATGTTTTATCACGATAGAAACACAACTATGTTTAAATTTAGATTGTTTGTCGGTTGCTGACGAAGACTGACTTAAAGTGACTAAAGGCTAGCGCTTTTATACTACACAACTTAGTTGAATTTAAATTGACAATTGGTCGTCTGACCCTCATAAGTGGCTAAAAACAGGCGCTTTTATACTATCTAACAAGGTCCCTAGCTAAACTTCTTTATAAAAACATGTCGTACCAAGAAAAAGTTTGTAGGTAGAATATAAACCAATGGGACCAGCACCCTCCACAACCGCATTTTTGTATTCCTTCATTTTATTTTTCTGAGTTTTATTTTTCAAATGCTCCCTATAAATCTCTTCATTAATTTCTTCATCTAATTTTCTCGACTGAATTTTTGACAGCTCAAAAATCGTTTCCAACTCTTTCATTTCCGGATTTTTCATAAAAGAGAATATATCAACAAAGGAGCCTTCTGCCGCTTCAGAATTTAAATCTCTAATAAATTTTTTGGATTCAATCACTAGCTTGAGTAGTTGATTGATTTTGGTAGTTGAAGTTGGAACGTCCGCTTCTGATGTCAATTTGAAACAGTCGATTCCTACAATGAAAAATTTTTTGGTGCTTTTATATGTTCATTAGGGTTGGGGGCCCGGTCCGGTTCGAAAGATGGAGTCGGGCATCGAATTTTGGCCCTAAAAATGACTCGAACGTCGGCTCGACTCGAAATCCCCAACCCTAGTGTCCATGCTGTGAAAAATTCATTGGATGGGAGATGGAATAGATCCATCATGGAAAGAGCCCAGACCGAAGCAAAACCGACTGTGCCACCATCCAACCCAATGATGTTATTTATTTTCATTTATTTTCTTTCTGCAAGTGCGGACACAACACTTTTATAGTTTTTCTATTTTCTAACAACCCTATACAACCCTATTTTCTTAAATTCATGTTTACATAAAAAGTCGCACTCGTCTTGCGACAGAAAAGGTGAAGAGGAAAAGAGGAGAGAAAAGTCACACGCGACACGTAGCATAGTGGAATGGCAGCTGCTTTTCAAATCCCCTTCTCCCTGCCAGCTTAACGATTTGCTATTGGTCATGCCATTCACTTATAATAGGGAAAATACGGTATTGTTTTCATGCCGCAAAAAAATTTCACAGCATCGGAGATGGAATTGAACGATCGTGGAATTAACCCAACCCAAGTATAATCGACTGTAGTAAGGACATAACAATCCTTTTTCTAATTTTAAAATTTACAATCGGCACCTTGTTTATATCCCCCCCTATTTGAGTCTCAGATCAATTTTCATTTTATTCTTTTCTGCCTCGGAATGGTCAAATTTCCTTATCTATAAATGTTAATTTTTGCCGTTAGGCTGATTTTTTCGGTTTCCGTCTATTTTCTCCTTCCCAATAACTTCCGTTTTATTTAGAAGCTTGGGGGAATTAAAAGATTGACAGTAAAAAAAAGGGGAAATTAGTCTGAGACCCAAATAGGAGTAGGGACGGGATATGAACACTGAACCAAGTTACCTATAGTTTTAAATATATCGTCTGCAGTTTTCGAATAGTATTCCTTCAAAACTTTCTTCACAAATTTCACAAAGCCGTCTCCACATGTGTAATTTTCAAAATTTTGCTTAAAACCTTCAACCTTAGCTTTAAGCGTTTGAACAGACTTTTCGAATACTTTGAAATTTTCTTTTGTCAACTTTTGGTCGTTTAACACATTCTCTTTGTTTTTCAAAATATATTCATACTCCTCGTATTGAATCACATCATTTGATTGGGTACTCCCTCCAGACCTTGCGATGTTGATTAATGACTTTTCGCGCCAATCTTTTAGGCCTTCCTCTATAAAACAAAAATTTTTAAAAAACTTTCCTCCTTTCCACGGGAAACAAAGATAAAAGAAAAGGCAAATTTTGGGTAATTTTGAGAGGGCCCTTCTCGCACAATTCTATGCTTACTAACGCGCGCGTTGAGAGAGGAAATACATATGTATGTATAATGAAAAGAAGAGAGCAAATTTGCACGCGATTTGTCGCTTTTCGAGTGCCTATTAAATTTTTTTCCGACAAGGCGTCTGCGTCTTGTCGCCTTTTTCAAGTGCTTAGATGAGCGCTTTGCGTTTTTCATCTCTATTGAAGATGCCGATTTTACGTAAGCACAAAGCAGCATCCGGTGCATTTATTTCCGAGAGTCTGTTACTTGACGCTCGGCAAACCTTATGTAAGCGTTGTCTAAGGCGGCGGAGCAGGATCCTGTCTCATTTTTCCGAAGTGCAATACTCTATGTTGTCCGGCATTTTCAATTAGCCGGGACTACCGAGGGAAAGCTACAAGAAAAAAAGCTAAGAGAGCTAAAAAAGGCTACCAAAGCAAACAAAAGCTACCCCGGGGAAACTCCGAAAATCTAATTTTATTATCCGGTTTTCAAGGCGACCAGGCTCGAAAAAACCCGGACCCGCCCAATGCCAACCCCTAATTTATATTGCCCCCACCTTCATTAAATCGGTATCGTTTTGTTGTGTCAGTTGACGGAAACGTAGCAAACGCGAGATTGTTTTGAATTGTTGTGGGTTTTTCAGCTCCATTTTTATCATAAATAGAAAGCAGAATCAAAGCAAGACAAACAAGATTAGAAGACAGAAACATTTTTGTTTTGTCTCTCATTCTCTCTTGTTTTTATACGCTCTCTCTCCTGCTTTTTTTTTATCTCCAGTTGAATTTATTTTTTTTGGCAAAATGTATATATTTTTTTAAATGAGAGATTGAATACAAAATTTAATTTTTTGGCTAGAAAAATAAATAAATGAGAGGGGGAATTAGCTATAAGACTTGTAGCTAGAAATGGGGAAGAGGGGAGTGTTTAAATAAAATCTCAGCTGACGCTTCTTTCCATCGATTCGCAGCGCGAGATTCTACAAGGCGGAAAATAATTTAATGGCAGGTCTTGAATCATGAGTTTTTTTTAAATAAAATAAATTTGCCTGTTAGGGCCTTATAAAACTTTTTTTTCGAGTTTCTTCTTTTTGTGCGCCTAGTTTTTTGTGGACAAAAATGGAAGCGTTATAAGGGCTATAAGGATTTTCAAAATTTTCGCAAGCGGCGCTATAAGGAGGAAGCCCTGATCTGAATATCTTGCTATCGTGGAGCGGCTCAGAAAAACTTAGGCCCAGCTCCCTTTTAATCCATCCAAATCCCCCTCCCCTCAATCCCCCGATATCCCTCCAAATCACAGGATATCCTCCTTAATCCCTCGTTATCTCTTTAAATCTCCCATTAAACCCTTCAAATCCCATGATATCCAAGGTATCCCTCCAACAATCCCTCCAAACCCTTATATCACAAAATCGATACAACAACACTTGCTGACACTTAGTGTTTCTTAATAAAAAATATTTTTTCCATTTTTGCGTTTTTTGGCCTTGAGTTGCGTTTTGCGTTTTTTACAATTGTCTTTACTCTTCACCCTCGGTCTTATCACTCCTGTATTGGTCTGGTATTAACCCCAATACACTAACGGATTCATTCTATTACCGTTGGACCTCGGTTTTTTTTGCTAGAGGATATTAAATATTAGGGAGTCTAGCCCTGTAAGACACGATGGATTGGGTGGACTCTCAGCTAAATGAATGAAGTAATCTGCCTTTGAATAAATAAATACGACTTATTAATGCTGGCAGAAAGCAGACATAAATAAGAAAATAAAAAATAAATGCTGTAAAATTATCTCTTAATCTCCTCCCCCCCTCCCCCTCCTCCCTAGTGGAAGGATACAGGTAAAGCAGTAAGAGACCGTTACTTTCCAGCCGCTCTTCTTTTAGCTATCTTGGATTCCTAACACTCTAAGAATTTTTTGATAGCAAAATCGCTTTTAAAGAGTGTCGGGAATCCTGGAAAAAAAGAATTATCAATTTTCATTTAAAATAAAAAAAAGTTATAGCTAAAAGAGAAGCGGTCACTGATTTAATAAAAATAATTTTTGACGTTTGTTTCCTAAACAGACAAAAAAACAGACAAACACTTGCATTTTAAACGCACTTTAAATGTACTCTGTCAGATCTCAATTTTATATACTCTCTAATCCCTTGGGAAAATAAAAATCGTTATCACTTAAGCGGCTCCTTTCAACTTATGCTTAAATGAGTCTTACGTCTTTCGAGAGAAAATAGCATTGAAAATGAAGAGACGAGTCTCTGTCTCTCTTTTTTCAAAGGCTATTTTCTTCCTCTCAAACCGCTATTAATTAAATACAGTAACATACAGTATACATTTAAAAAATTTCTTAAAGGCTTTGGAATTTTTTAAAATTTCTTATAAAATTTTTTTTTAATTTTAAAAAAAAATGGAGTTTATAAAATAAAATTGAAAAATGTATATAAAATTAAAAATAGGCCAGTCTCCACTTTATAAATTGAAGGGCAGACAAATTGATTAAATGCTGACATGTGAATAATTTTAAAATTTCATAATTATTTATTCTCATGACTGCCTATTTGTTAGAAATTCTTTTAGCTATTCCCTTTGAAAAGGTCACAAGTCTGTAACACGTTGTCTAAAAAGTTGTCTAAAACAAGGCCATTTTTGCTTAACAAAACAAGCAACTTTAGGGGTTTTTGATTGAATCAAGGACGTCTCGTCTCTCTTTTCGAGAAATGGCGGAACCTTGGTTTTAGTGCCTCTTTTGAAGATAAAAAGTGAATAAATTTAAAATGGCCACCATTTATAAATTGAAAGGCAGACAAATTGAATGAGGATTGTAGTGATGTTCGAAACTCTCGGTCTCGGTTCCTGAGTCGGGAAATTTCCCCTCTCTATAATATAATTTACTTTTTAAAATTTTTGAGTGGTTAATGGTGAACAATGTATAGGCGCAGGAGACAACCAAGAAAAACACAACGCCATAATCGAATTCAGCTAGTGGGTGGGTGGATGGCAAACGGATTAGGCAGTGGTTTTTGGAAAGAAGGCGCCCTAGATCGAAAACTTCAGTCTAACATAATTTTTCATAACGCAACCACACCTTGTGGGGATGTGTCGTTGTAATAAACACTTCCATACACCAATTATAAAATAAATTTAAATTTATAATAAAAACGAATTAAAATTTTTCTTTTCGTAAATAATGTTTGTTGTAAATATAAATTAGGTTTATGCCTAGAATTTTTTTCAAAGTAATTTTCGAAAAAAATTTTTTAAGGGCATATACCTTAATAAAATAATAACAAATTTTTTTTGGAGGAGGAAAGGGTATGTAAATGAGTAAATACAATGAATAAACATTTTTGTGTCTAAATATATCAGGTCATAGCTAGAAGAGAAGAAAGAATGGTAAATGTAAAGATTACTGGTCCCGAAAAAAATGTGGAAGAAGTGGTTTTTTAATATTTTTGAGGTTTGCCAGTAGGTAATCGAGTGTGCTGAGTCCGAATCTGAGCTTAGTATTTGTTTATTTCGAACCCCGAACCCGGTTTCGACCAAGTCGAATTATGGGTTAAAATTCGAAATTAAAAATTTAGGGCTAATCTGATGCACCTATTCGAGCTGAGTCAAATGCCTCAAAATCACCGCGATCCGACTCCATAGTGCCGAGTTAGAGACCCCCGAAGTTTGAAAATTTTTAGGGTCAAAAATTCGAACATCCAAATAATAGCTCATTCGAAAGAACTCGACGAGCTGAGTCGATATTTGACATAATCTGATATCAGATTCGTGATCAGCATAGTCGATTACGCCATAAATTTTTAATTTCGGATTTTAACCCATAATTCGACTTGGTCGAATTCGGGTCCGGGGTTCGAAATAAACAAATTCTAAGCTCAGATTCGGACTCAGCACATTCGATTCCCTACTGGCATGCCTCAAAAATGTCTAACTAGTACTTTTTCCTCATTTTTTTCTAGGGACCAGTAATCTTTACATTTACCGAAAGAATATTTTTTATAATTGAGCATCCCTCTATAACAGGTGGGTTGGAACAGTCAGAGGTGTCGGAAATCGGAAAAGCCGGAAATCGGAACTGGCTCAAAAGTCGGAACTCGGAAATCGGTAATGAACATTCTTTCCAGAAATCGGAAGGAAAAAACGCCGGAAATCGGAATTCCGACCCAACTCTGCTCTCTAACTAAACGGTCCTATCCCCAATCCAAAGGAATTTTAGGATTTGAAGGAGCCGAATCTCTTTTCTACTTGAAAACCCCATCTTCAAGCTTTCCAAATTAGATAGAAAAATTAAAAGATGAAGAGAGGAGCCTTTATATAAAAAGAGAAGTTTAGAGGAAGGATAACCTTGTCAAGAAAAAAAATTTTTTTGGGGGGAAAAATCCAAAAATAAAATTATATACACTTTAAAAATATTTTTCCCCCAAAAAATTTTTTTTCTCTCCCAAAAATTTCTATCAAAAAAAATTAATTTTTTTCCTTCTTCCTCCTCTAGCTATATAGACCTTCATTTAAAATAAAAAATTATTGTTGGCTCAAAAAAAATTTATAAAAAAAATATGCGCGAAAATTAACTTCCATTTCTTCAGTTAAATATAGAAAGAAATAAAATATATTTTTAAAAAAGAAAGTGATATAAAAAAATAAATAACAAACCAAAGAAAGAAGCTATATAGAAAAAATCTTTGTGCAAATAAAAAAAAACAAAAAAGAAAATTTTTTTTTAAAAACCAGACCAAATTTAAAACAAAAAATAATTTTTTTTAAATAATAAATTTTGTCGGCGGCTATGGTTTTAAAGGGTATTTTGCGCCCAATTAAAAGCGCTGACATGAAAAGTGCTACTTTTAATGCCCAGACATTAATTCTTTCCAATTTGTATTTTAATGGATGATTTTTACCACTTTATACTTTTATTTGTATTTTCTTTCATATTACCATTAGGGCTGATCGAAATTTCGTATCGTTAAGGAACGAAACAAAAAAAAAGTTTTATTTCCGTTTCGATTCGGAACGAAATAACCAAAATCCAGGACAAAACAAAAAAAAAGCAAAAATGTGATTTCAAGACTTAAATAGGGGAGGGAGGGGGTATAAATTAAAAAAAGTGAGCACTTTTTTATTTTAGAAAATTATCTTTGGGACCAGTTTTCAATTAAATTCTCTCATTTTTTTTAAATTTCCAATGGGGTCAGATTTTTTTAAAGGGGTATCCACAAACTTTTTTTTTCTGTTTTAAAAATGTTGTTAAGACTTAGGGCAATTATTTGGTACAGTTAGATTTTTTATGTTTGCTAAAGATTCAACGATTTTTCTTGGAGAATTTATTTTTGGAAAAAAACGACCTTTATTATGAAACACCTAGTAAAATTTTCCCAAACTTAAAATTTTCCAAAATTTTTCCCAAAATTTTCCCAATTAAAATTTTCCCAAATTTAAAATTTTCCATTTAAAATTTTCCTAAAATTTCCAATAAATTCTCAAAGGGACGCATTCCATAAAAACTAGAGCCATTTTTAAACAAAAAAATTTTTCAAGTCCAGTTTTTTAAAAAAAGAGAAAAAAAAACATACAGAATTTTTTTTGGTTGTTAAATATAATTTTCTTAAAAAACAGATTTTTTTATATAGAATAATATTTATATATAATCCCGGTCAGTGTGTGCCTTTTAATTTTTTGTTTGTTGTTGCTTTTTTCTCTATTTTACTTGTTGTTGGGGTCTTTTTCTACGTCTTCGACGAAAACAGCAACATCTTTTAATTTTTAATAGAAAATTAAAAGAAAATATATTTGCTTTATATGGAGCGAAAGATTGGTCGAGTGATCTAGTTTAGAGATAGGATCTCAAAAAATCTCAATAATCGTAAAGTCCCCTTGCGTCTTGCGACCAAAATTATGAAAACGAAGGGGCAATTTCGCCCCTTCTATTAAAGATGGACCGGATTGAGAAAAAAAAAGTTGGATTGGATTTCGGGTCTAAAAGAAAATTAGAAGGTTTGTAGGAAGGAAGTCTACCCTTTTTTAGACCAAAATTATAGAAAAATGGAGAGGCAATTTTATCCCTTCTTATTAAGGATGGACCGGATTGAGAAAAAAAAGTTGGATTGGGTTTCGGCTTTAAAAGAAAGTTAGAGGTTCTTAGGTAGGAAATAGCCTATCACTTTTGTCTGCTATTTTTTTAAGTAACGAATAGAAAAAAATCGAACTTAAGTGTTCGAACAAAAATTTCTGCTTCGATAAAACATCGAAACGAACCGCGAAACGAACCGAGGTTATTTTCAAAAAAAAATTTTAAATTATAGAAAGAAACTAACTTGACTTCGCTATGACTCTCACTATTGATTTTTTGTGCTTGTCGCGCCCCATCACCAATAGTCTCTTCAATCTCGCCAGCATTTGAATTGATAACCTTTTTAAGAAAAATATTTAAAAAAATTTATATTATTTATGAAGATTTCAAGGGTTGAAATCTTTATGAAGATTTCAACCCAGAACAGTAGAAATTGTTTATAAAAAGTTGGAAAACCCTGAACAACTTGATTTTTAAGCCGGGGAAGTACGGCTTGATCTTGTGGTCGTTTTACTAAAAACCTTCAGGTTCTAAAACAGAAACGTAAAATTGGAAAACTACTTACAGAAACGTAAATTTTCAAAAAAAGGTTACAAAAGGGCCAAAAAAATCCTGATCGATTTTCACATCCCTAACAAAATCAAAAAGAAAAAAACCTGAGTAGATCCAAATCCAGCACCTCCATGGTGTATACCCCCACCAGTGGTTGTACTACTAACTAATTGAGCATTTGGCTTCAAAACTTCTTCAATTAACTGTTTATTTGCAGATGAACGCTTTTTTTGTTCATGAAGTCGATGATGACCATCACCTCCACCTGCCATTCCACTAACTCCTGCGTGAAGAGAACCACTTGGTGTGGCCTTAGAAAAAAATTTTTTCTTAAAAAATATTAAAACAAGTTCTAGATAGGAGAGACAAGTTTAGAGAAAAAAAGTCAAAAGAAGCAATGGGGACTGCCAAACAACTGCGATTATTAGGGTTGCCGACCCGGTTTGTTTCGATAGATCGAATCGGGCATCGAATTTTGGCCGGAAAATGACTTAAACGTTGGCCCGGTTCGACAAAAATGAAGTCCAAAAAGATAATTCGAACATTGGCCCAGTTCAAAAGAAACAATTGGGGAAATTAGGATTGCCGGCCCAGTTCGATAGATCAAATTGAGCAACAAATTCTGGGCCGAAAAAGACTCAACGGCACGGTTGGATAAAAACGAGTCGAAAAAACGAGGTCGGTCCGGTTTGAAAACGGCAACCCTAGTGTCACTATGAAACCCAATGACGGTTGGATAGTTAAAAATAGTCTGTTCTGGGACAGGAGCCTGTACAGAATTTTACGGGATCCAGTCAAGAAACTACGGGGTCTAGAAAGTAAATTGGATTACCAGGATAATCTACCTCAAAAAATTAAAAAAAACAAACCGCTTGATTCAATTTATGCACCCAATCAAATTCATAATCATACGAATGGCACATTCGTTCCAAAACTGCTTTAAACAGTCCATAGCAATATTCATAATCTGGAGTCTCAAAAAAGTCTAAACGGCGAGAATAACGAAGATATTGAGCAAACTCCTCTAAAAATTTTTAAAAAATAACAAAAATTCCCTTCTTTAAAAAACCTGGAAATCCTTCACAAAGTACTTCTATAGGAGTTGCCCTCTTTGTATCACCAATCTTTTGATATCGCTCTTTCAATGTATCAGCTTTCAAGCCTTGCCAAGGAAGTGAACCACGAAGAAAGTACATAAACATATGCCCCAATGCTTCCAAATCATCTCTTCGACTCTGTTCTTTACCCAAATGTGTGTTGATAGACATATACCGTGCTGTTCCAGTTAAAGATTTGTGCTCTCTATAGGCTATGTGTTTTCCTGAAAAAATGAGAAAATAAAAAATTGGATAGCGCAAATTCTTTTCTAATCTACGCTTGGTTAAACAATCGAAAAAATGACGAAAATAAAATATTAGGAGGGCAAGCTTCCCAAAGGAACGACCATCAATTTTCAAGTCGTTTGTCCACAACGGATGGTTGTACAGCAGGGAGTTTAAACAGTTTCACACCCAACGGTGGGATCGGTTCTAACACATGGAGTTGGGTACTTATCGCCATAAAAAACATGACTTACAGCAATCGGGTCAAAAAAATTGGGGGAATAGTAAAAAAATGTCTCCCACAACGACACTATAACCCTATAAAATTATTGAAAAATAAAATACCAGTATCACAGTCAATATATTCTTTAGCTAGGCCAAAATCAATAATATGTAAAATGTGTTGTTTTCGAGTCGAACTTCGCCCAATTAAAAAGTTTTCTGGTTTAACGTCTCGATAAATTAAATGCTTGGAATGGACATATTCTATCCGCCTTATCTTCAAAAAAATTTTGTTCAAAAATTATAAAAAAATTTTTTAACAAACCAATTGCATCGCAACCATACAAACACATTTTAAAGTAAATTTTCTGTCACACAAATCAAAAAGGTCTTCTAAAGAATGACTTAATAATTCCATAACTAATGCATTGTATTTTCCACATGGGCCAAAATAGTGAACTTGAGGGAGGCCTTCTTAAAAATTAGAAAAAATATTAGAAAGAATTTAACAAGGTTTGGTGTAACTAAAGACCGGACAAGGAGGGTTGTTTAATAAAAATCTCAAGGTCGATAACTGAGATTTTTTGTTCGAAATCTTGTTTCAGCCCGATCCCTAGATGTGGCCTTGAATCAAAATATTAAGAACAATAAAGTCCCAATGATAAAAATTATGGCAAAAACGGAAGTAAAACTTTAACTCTATAGTCCTATCGATAAACAACAAAAAGTCTACATGGATGACCATCTCCGGGAAGCCCAATGATAAAAATTATGGCATGAACGGAAGAACTCCCACCTAAACCTACTAGTCCTAGCAATAAGCAACTAAAATCTACATGGATCACCATTTCTAGGCCGAGGTTCTAATGACTTTTTCCGGTCTCAAAGACATCATCTTTTGATTCATGTCGAACTCGGAAGGAACGTGACTCGAAAAGGACGTTTTATATAAAGCCAAAATCAAAAAAAGTTGCCCTTCAACGGAGTATAGAACTGACGACCATAAAAACACCGGAACCCCAAAATCTATTCATCCTATTAGAGATCGGCCTGGGTCTGGATCAAGGACTTGGTTTTTCCTGTACCCAGAGTCCAGGCATTTTTGGGCTTCGTGGGTTTTCCTGGGTAGATAAATCAAACCCAGAACCTAGGAATAGGCCCAGGCTCTTCAAAAATTCCGATCTCTAATCCCTACAGCCCCAAATAGAATAACTATCAAATTAAAATCCACAAACCTGCTAGTCCTAATAATTTATAAAATCGATATTCCAAATGCAATTGCGGCGCTTTACTCTTCATAGGTTCCAATTTAATAGCAACATGTTCATTGTTGTAAAGGTTTTTGCCTAGTCGAAGTTCGCCAAAATTTCCACAGCCAATTTTCTTTCCGACCTAGAATTTATTTTTTTAATTTCCGCGCCTCTAAACTTTCAAAAAAAACCTTAAAATTCGGCCCAACCATAAGAACACCAACAGAGGCCGTTGTAGAATTTGAAGCTGAGGAGCTTGGACCTCTTACTTGACCCGCCATAATTTTCTTGTTGATTCTTCTAAGCTAGTAAACGGCTAAATTGAAAAGACGACGAGAGACGAAATAAGAGTTTGGCACAAAAGTTGGCGTTGTTTTTTGATGATTTACAACAAAAATATTTTTAAACTGGTGTTGAGAAAGGTACAAGAAAGCCTCGATTACGGCTTTTAAAAGAAAATTTAATTGTCTGCCTATAAAAAGCTATAAAACTGAAAAGAAAATGTTGAGAGACTTGTAAAAGCACCTGCACGCCAATAAAATGTGTTTTTGGAATTTTTTAGAGTACCCAATGTAAAATTTTTTTATGATTTTTATGGGTAAAGTCGCGTTAAACATATGTTAAAAGGGAATAAACAGGTTATTATGTAATTGGGAGTGATTGTGAGTCATTTTAATTTTGGAATACAGAAGAAACTTGGTAGCTTCTACTCTGCTTTTTTAGTTAGTATGACAACTCCAGGGTTTGAGGACGTAAGAAGGAAGGTGACGTGGGAGAGGCCCTGACCAGTCTAAGGGTCAACATGAGGGTACTGTTCTACTCTGTTTTTTTAGCTAGTGGAATTTCTAAATAACGACATCTTCGGGCCGAATTATGCTGACGTAAGAAGGAAGGTAGCGTGGGAAGGAGTCAGGATCAATCTAAGGGTCTGCCTGTACAAATAGGTCGGTCGAAATTGCGATTTCCGGCACCTTAGTAATTCAGACCGACCTCTGGCCCGTATCATGGTTCAAGACTCTAGAATATTTTTAATCTCCTGTATTTTTTAGGCTCTAAGGGGACCTAGGCCAATCAAAAAAATCCAGGAATCGAACCTGATTTTTTCACCTTCCTTCGATCTACCTGCACTAAGAATAATTGTTCTAAAAAAGAAGGGGCAACAAAATATGTAGAGGGTCATATAAAACAAAGTCTAAAGGAAAGAAATCTAAGACAATAGGGACAATGTAGAGGTCTAAGGGGAGATTTAAGGGGAAAAGGGACGTTTGGAAAAGAAAGTTTGGAAAAAAGGAAGTTTTTGATAAATAGAAACAACTTAAAAAACAGGTTCAAAACCATATAAAATTAAAAATAATCTTAAAAATGGGAGAGTTAATAAACGGAAATGACGCTAAAATAAAACCACACACCTTAGAAACAAACGAACAAAAGGACAGAGTGATTCGGCATCTTAACACACATAAACATGAAATAATATTTTAATAGTAGAGAGAACTCTTGTGTGTATTAATTATTGACAGACTATATAGTTACATATGAAAAAGAATTAATAAAATGGTGGTTAAGGGCTTCCGTTCACACAACGCTTATAAAAGCAAAAGAGGGGGAAAATGACACTTGAGTCTAGCTGGAGTTTTTGAAGGTTGTTTTTGGGGGACACGCCCAAATAGGCGCGCGGCCATAACGGCGCAAAGCCATAACTTGCTGGAAAATTTCTGGCCCCTAACAGTTTTGGTACCATTCTCTTTAGCTCGATGAGAGGAATCGTTTAATACTAAATTTGGTAAGAATCGGATATTTTGAAGTAAGTTATGGCTTCGCGCCGTTATGGCCGCGCGCCTATATGGGCTATACTCGTTTTTTGGGGCTACTTTTTTGTGTTTTACCAAGTTCCGATTAATTTTGGCATCAATCGGAAGCTCTAAGGGTGCGGGTTATTTCTCCTGAAGGGCCGAATCAGCTCCGACCAAAATTTATCAAAATACGGACAGCTAAAAAAGGTGAACGATCGACTCTCTAATTAAGGTCATATCTTAACAGCAGATGAAAGAACCTTATCAGTCCTGTTAACAAAAAGATAGGGCACATTTAGAGCTTCCGATTGATACCAAAATTGCTCGAAAAGGTCGAAAAACAAAAAAGTTGACCCCCAAAAAGGCTTCAGACTCAACCGTCCTTACTCAAGAACCCTTCAAGCAACACAAGGAAATCATAAAAGAGAAGGTAAAAATTTTTAAATTCCTGAACTTCTCTCTCATGTAAAAAGTGTCTTTTCTCCCTTCTTGCTGTGGCTGTCCACAACTGCTCTTTTCTTAAAATTGTTTGTCTAACAATATCCGTTTCTTTAAAGCAGCTGCAAAATAAAGAGAGACAGAAAGGCTTATTGATTGGGGATTTGAAGTTGGTTAGAGTATTGTTTAGAGAAAGGGTGTTAAGAGAAGGTATTAATGAGTAGAACAAATAAAGAGTATAAAAAATATGGAAGGAAGACAAAAATCTTGTAAATTAGCGGTATATCCTTATGGAGATGTTGAACAGATTAAATCAACAAAATTCAAAAATATCAGGGAAAAAATTGAAAAAAATTTTTTTTTAATTTGCTAGACTCTAGTGTCCAATTAATCGATTTATCCGAATAGAAGGAAATACAGCGGTGAGAGAAATAGGGGGAAGGGGCATTTTTCAAAATGTCAAAAATCAGGAGGTCCAAAACTCGAACAAATCCAACTAGCACAATTTAAGAAAACTATAAAGTAGTAAAAGAAGGATTTGGAGGATGAATAGAAACGTAAAAAAATGAAAGAAATAAATGCAAAAATGTATTAAAAATTAATCCCTGCCTGCGCAATTTTGATTAACTTAAAAGGAAGGGCACAGCCCAAATAGGCGCGCGCAGCCATGACGGCGCGAAGCCATAACTTGCTTTAACATTTACGAATTTTACCAAATTTAGTATTAAACGATTCCTCTCATCGAGCTAAAGAGAATGGTACCAAAATTGGTAAAGGGCCAGAAATTTTCCAGCAAGTTATGACTTTGCGCCGTTATGGCCGTGCGCCTATTTGGGCGTCCCTAAAAGGAAGAATTTCCCCAGCTGGCCAAATGTCTTTTAGGTCAAATGAAATTTTACACTTTTTTAAATAATAAATACCGTAATCTAATTAAATTTCGTTTCAAAACATTTCAGTTATTTCACAATTTTTGCAAAAAAATTTTCATTTCCGGTCAATCAATGTGTCATTTATTTGTCCTTTTTATGTTTTAATTTCCTTTTTTAGATTTTAAAGCAAAAAGTAAATTAAAAAAGCGATTTCAACGATAAAATTAGTGATGGGATCATCCGTTCTTCAAGATTTATTAAAAGACCACATTTCTGAGATTGGCGATTGGAGTGAAATTGTAAACAATCATCAGGTTTTATTTTTGTGTTTTGACTTACTTTTTGTTAAATGAATTCGGGTTTAATTTGGTTAGGGAAAAATTTAAGAGTCGGGCCACTTTCGAATATAGACGGGTTTTTCGATTTTTATTTGTCCGTTTTGGGGCAACAGCAGTCTAGTAGAGCTAGTGATTGAGGTTTTTGAAAAGCTTGGCCTGTTTTTGGGTTTGGTTTATTGACCTTGGCCTGATCCTGGGCATGTAGTTTTTGAAAAACCCAGTCCTAGGAAAAACCCAGGAAGGTCAAAAATGCCTGGGTCTGGACTCTGTGTACAGGAAAAACCCAGGCTTTGGACCAAATCCAGCTCGATCTCTAGTGGAGACCACGCATTGGTTTTTTTGGAATTAGCGATTGAAGTGAAATTGCCGAGCTCTTTTGAATATCATATAAGTTGTGGTAATATTGAAGAGTACAGACCCCATTTTTTCCTCCCTATTTTTCCCCTATATTTTTACAAAATGGTCAGACTTTTTCCTTCCTTCCATCCAATTCGCCTTTCTAATTTTTGCCTACAATCAAACAAAAAGGATTATTTTTTGGTATTTAACATTTATGAGTTTTCAGAAGACGCATTTTCTCTATTAAATAGGAAATAAAATATCAAAAATAATTTTTTTGTTTGATTTAGGCAAAAATTAGAAAGGCAAATTGGATGGAAGGAAGGAAAAAGTCTGACCATTTTGTAAAAATATAGGGGGAAAAATAGATAGGAAAAAATGGGGTCTGTACTCTTCAATATTACCTAAGTTGTCCATATTCGAGAGTGGCTCGCAATCTCAAGTTTTCCATGTCGAGATTAATGTAAATTATACGCGATTGTGCCAGAAAGCGCTTTTCGGGTTTAGGAGTCACAAACTTATTTACTGTTTTTAATTTTGGGTAATACTATTTGATTCAACTCACAATTTTGCTTTACTTCCGCAAATGAGATCATGATTTTTAAAAGTTCGGGCCTGGTAAAATTTTCGAATCTAGCGGGTCGGGCTTGAGTCTGATATTTGTCTGGGTGTAAGAAAGACCCAGGAACTTGGCTGGAATGCTGTTTGGTTTCTTGTTAATTTCAACTTGTATTCTAATCGTTAAAATTTACAGGAAGACTCTTCAGCTGCCGAATCCTTACGAGCGCGTCAATCATTGTATAATATCAACCTAGATGGCCCCTTCTACATTTTTGTTTCACAAATGCCAACTCATTACAACAGAGAACCAGAGTCTAAAGGACTTCGAAATGATATTTACAATTTTTTTGAGGGTCCAAAAAATGTAAAAATTTTTGTTTTTAAAAATTAATTCAAAAATTTTCAGCTCTTGCACGTGCATATATACGGACGCGGATGTTGTATGTTGAGAGCAAAGAATTTTGAAAGTTGTGTTCAAATTCTGAGGAAGGATGGCGAGGTATTCCTTGTTTGTTTTTAGCTGTTGAATTTTTTCGGGAATTTGTTTATTCTTATTTTTGGATCATTCCAGAATTTCTCCAGAAAAATTTCCAGAAAATTTTATCGTTTCAATTATCTTGTGCTATTGATTTAAGTTCTGCATGGCTCAGGGTGTGCCAGTATTGAACGGGGGGTTTGGGCCAGTTTTGTTTTTCGCCATTTTTTTATTTTTCAATTTGTATATTTTCAAATGTTCGTCTTTCATTTTCTGTTTCGTTTTTTGTTGTCTTTCTCTTTTTACTTAAATTTTGGCAAACCCCTGGTATGAATGTTTTCTTAAGAAAATTCAAAGCTTCCCCTATAAGAGTAATAAACTTATAAATTTCATTTTTCAGAATTTCAAAGATAAACCAATGAGGATTGAATACGTAGTTCCAAACGGCGAACACCAATTTAAATATACAAGGTTTACTTCTATCCAATTGGACGCTCAAATGGAAATGTACCAACAAAAACTTTTGAATCCTCCAGAGGGTTTTTTTCAATTTTTTCAAAAATTTTTTTTTATAAATTTTCTCTAGAAAAGGCAAAACCGCCAAAACCAAATCCTTTTGGAGAAGCAAAACCATTAGATATTTCAAAGAAAATGGAAGAAGTTGCTTTGAAAGTACAAGCTGAAAACACTGAAAAAAGACCGCCAACAAAACCTGTTGTTGAAAATCCGCCAAAATATTTTCCTCGAACAATTGAGAGAAGCGGCGGACGCCCACATCCACAACCACATCCACACAAAAATGATAATTATAATAGGTTTATAATTTTTTATTTTTGATTTTTTTATGGGGAAAGGCAATGGAGAGACATGGGGAGACAACTTTTTAGTTTATAATTTTAAGACAGTCTACATAACTCTAGGAATCAAAAATGAAATTTATTAGAATGACGTCTACCCAATTTATTTTCGTTTCAGAAATTATTCATTCTATGGGATCAGAGAGGCTGTCTTAAAATTACGTTAAAATAAGTTTAGGATCAGAATTTTAAGGAGGTGGAAGACACTCGTTTCTAGTTTCTAAATCCTCCATTTTTGGACCGAAAGGTTATCGGAATGAGGTCTACCGAGGATTATTCAGTTGGTTCGATGCCCAAAAATTTCGATTCTTCGGTCATTCTCAGATAACTAATGAATTTCTTAGAACTGAGACAACCCTAACCACCGATCTAAAATTCATTTTAGATTTAAAAATTCAACTAGACGTATGTCAACGATTTTGGAAGAATAGGAGAAATAATTTCAATAATAAAATAAAATAAATAAATTATAAAAAAATTAAAGGGAAAAATAATTTAATAAAAAGGTAAAAACTTGGGGATTTTTTTTGAGTTTTTGGCAAAATTTTAAGCGAAAAAATTTTTTTATCCTTGTATTTTTTCAAATGGGAATTCCCACGTGATTAACCAGCGAAAAATTTTTCTAAAAAATTTTTTTCCCTGAAAAAATTAATTTAAAAAATTTTTTTAGAAGCACACCCAGAGGTGGAGGAAGAACAGGAGGCGGAGGAGGAGGTGATCATCAACACCACCCACATCAGCAGTACCAACAACATCACCACCACCAAGGACACCAAAAACCATTTCATCCGCGTATTTTATCTCATAAAAGCAATGATGGAGAAAATATTAAAGGAAATAATAGCAGTGAAATTGTTGGTGGTAATAAATCCAACATTGAGGAAAATAAAGGAAAAGAGGTTGAAATTAAAAGTGTTGTTGTTGAAAGGGCGGAAAGTGCTACATTAACAACGTCAACGACAGGTTGAATTTTGTTATTAAATTTTCTGAAATTTTAATTTTCCGGAATATATAATAAAATTAAACATTTTCCGGAAAATATTTTTTGTAATTCTGAAATTAATTTTATGGGTGAAAGGCTGAAATTAAATAAACTTTTTCCGGAAAACAAAGTAATATGTGTAACTAACAATTTTCCGGAAAATACATGTTAAAATTAATTATTGAAGTTGTTTCCGGAATTCTTATATAATATTTCCGGAAAACATTAGATATACCATTTCTCTGAAGGTAATTAAACTTTTTCCGGAAAACAAAATAATATAAATAAAAAATTTTCCGTAAAATACGCATCTTTAGAATAACTCAGAGATTCTTGGGGTGATTCCGGAATGTGTTTTCCGGAAAATTATATAACTATAGTATAGTATAACTCTAATATAATATTTTCCGGATCAAAAATAGAACTTTCCGGAAAATACATATTTTTAAAAATAACTCTGAAATTTCTGGTCTAATTCCGGAATGTGTTTTCCGGAAAATTGCATAACTATAGTATAATATAACTCTAGTTTTACATTTTCCGGAACAAAAATATAAAACTTTTCCGGAAATAGAGTTATTAAATTATAATTATATATTAACTAGGCGGAAGCACTATAACCAATATTACAACCGGAAATACAATTGCTACAACTTCAAATACAAACGGAAATAGAACTAGAATAATAAAGTCTTATAGCAATACAGTTTCTACTGCAATACAACATCAACAACATCAACAACCTTTAATTAATGAATTACCACAATTACAACAAAAACAAGAACAACAAATAAAACAACAACAACAAAATTTTATTAAAAAACAAGAAGAAGAACAAATATTGGAAGAAGGAGGAGGAGGAGGGCATGTTTCTTCTTCTATTAATGAAAATAAAAATGTTGTTGTTTCAAATTTGGAGAAAAAACCAAATAAAAAGAAGGACAATAAGAAAAGGAAATCAAATAAGAATGTGAGTTTAAAGGGTGTTATAAATGATTATCTTTTTTGATTAAAAAAATAAATTGAAATGTTGGTTGAATAATTTCTTAAATTCTCAAAAAAATTTTTGGTGTTGACCTCATTTACTCTCCGAAAAATCTCCAACTTTCCAAAAATTTTTTTTGGAATTTTTGGTGTTGCCCTCAGTTACTTGGGTGTTCCTAAACGTTCGGAATACATTTTAAAAAAATTTCAAAAGGCCGTAAAAGTTTTTAAAAAATATTCCCAACATTTCAATTTTTGTTTTTATTGTGTACATATTTTAATCTTATTTATTTTACTCAAAAATTATTCAAAATATCTTTATGGGAAGATTTATGTTTTGGGATTTTGACAATCAGAAAAATTATTCGGAAGAATTGAAAAAATTTGCGGGATTTTTTTGGGGTTCGATTTAGGATTCAATCATCTAAACTTTTGGGAATCTTTTTGGGATTTATACATTTATCTGTATTTTTTTTCTTTTGAGCCTCAGTTATTTTTCAGTTTAATCTGACCTCAAACTTATTAAAAAAATTTTTTTATTGTGTATACTTGGGATGTTAGAAAATCAGGAATAAAATACGCTTAAATTTCCACATCTCAGACGGCAGTTTGATTTTGCTTGTCGAGATTAATAGAAAAATACTAGGACTTTGGGATGTGCGCCTAGATTTTCGCGTGGCGCGCCAAACGCTCTGGTGCACATCCCTGATTCGTTATTTTGGATTTAATGATACTTTTTCTTTCTTGCGGTCTGGGTCTTTCTGTTCTTGCGATCTGGGTCTTTTTGTTCTCGAGGTCTGGGTCTTTTTGTTCTTGAGATCCGGGTCTTTTTCTTTCCTGCGGTCTGGTTCTCTTAAAGCTATGGCATCAAAAAAATTCATAATATTTTTAACATCCCCAAGTATATACTTTAAATACTTGTATAAATATTATACTATTATATATATTTTGCATTTTTCAATAAAAAATACTAAAAAAAATTTTCTAAAATTCTTTTTTTATTAATTTTTTAGCAAGGTGGATTCAACAGCCAAAATCGGTACAATGCATTTCTGGATCCTGAATACAATTCTTAAAGAAAAATTTTATATGTTCGTGTGATTGGTTGGTTGGTTGATGGTGGTGTTTGTGTGATGGTCCGCAACATTCTCTCTCTCAAAAAAAATTTTTTTTCTCAAGAATATATGACATCTCTGGATTTGAATGATGCGTTTTTTTTTGCAAATTTTCCTCCCCAATATATTCAAATATAAAAAAAATATTTTTTTTCTCTCCCCAATAAAAAATATATATCCCCAGAATTTTTGTTTTGTTTTACTTATTATTTTTTTGGGCCGTGAAAATTTTTTTTTCTAATTTATAGCGATGAAAATTGGGGTACTTTCACATTATCTGGTATCCATTTTTCAAACTAGTCATTAAGGTGTCCAATTGAGGGAGATTGGGGTGATTTTTGGGGGTGTTGTTTGACTCAGGCGTGGAGCTTTGACTCTCCCGAAGAGCTCTCCTTTTCTTCTAAGCTCTTCTCCTTTGCTCTGTGGTTGAATAATGGGTACAGATAGTGTGAAGTAGAGACCGGACTGGGAGGGTCTTACGAGAATCAAGATAAATATATTTCGAAAAAAATCTTGATTCTCGATAGCCTAGATTTTTGTTTAAGATCCCAGCTTAGTCCGATCTCTAGTGTAAAGTACCAAAAAAATTTATTCCCCCCTCCAATTATTATTATTATTTAAAAATTTTTCTTCTATTTTGTTTGTATTCAATTAAAAAAGCAAAAAAAAATTATAAATTATGTTAGGAAATATATTTTTTGATTGAAAATGGACATTATGCCATAGCTTTATTTTTTAGCTAAATGTTTGAAAAATTCGGAAAGTATAAAAGGGTTTCTAATTATGGGTTTTGGTATTTTTCCATTCGTTTCACACAAGAATTTTGGGGTACTTTGTCCATATCCCACTCCCACCACTATATGAGTCTCAGATTAATTTTCCTTTCATTCTGTCAATCTTTAAGTTCCCTCAAACATTTAAGCAAAGGGCAAGTTATTAGAAAGGAAAAATAGCGGAAAATCAACATACTATGTAAAGGGGGAAATTTGACCATTCCGGGGCGGGAAAAAATTAAGGGAAAATTAATTCGAGACTCAAATAGGGGTTGGGGGTGGGCACTCAAATAGAGTAGGGGTGGGGAAATGAGACTCAAATAGGGGGGGGGGGGGACAGAGAACCGAATTTTGTTTTTCCGTATAGCAAAACGAAACCTAAGCAAATTTTTTGGCTCCTAAACAAAATGAGGGGGCAAGAAATGGGATCGAAACGAAAATTGGGTTGTTTCGTCTAAAAGACGAATAGTGAAACGAAATTTCGCAAATTTTCGGTCCTATCAACATCCTTTCCCAAATTTTCCAATTAGAAACTTTAATCGCTTTTTTTCAGATTTTTAATTAAAAATAATAAAAATGAGTGTCAATACACACTGGCTTTGGGATCATAAAGATTTGGAAGATACTCCTTCAGTTCGAGATGGTGGCATATCTTTGGAAGAAGAAAATAAATTGAGAAGGGAAGGTGTGAAGATGATTAAAAAGATGGGGAAATCTATTAATTTGTTAGTTTTTAAAAATTTTTAAAGAAAAATTTTAATTTTTAAAGGAGAACGAATCCAACATTGGCCACTGCTTGTGTATTCTTTCATCGATTCTATATGTTCAATACGTTTGCAGAATATCCTACACACGTGAGTTTAAAACATTTAGAAAAATAGTTTGGCTCTAGTCTAGTTTATGAGTCCAATCAAAAATTGGAATTTCTTGGGGTTGCAAAAAAATTTCTTGGGGTCATTTTCAGTATCTACGCCCCCTAGGCCTGGGACCATTCATTACCTTATCCCTCGAAATTTTTGAAAGTTCTAGCCAATTTTTAAAAATCTTAGAAAACGTTAAAAACTTTAAGAAATTTCAACGGATAGGGTAAGGAATGGTCCAAGACCCATTGGGCGTAGGTTTCGAACATGGAGAAATGTTTTGGAACCATACTCCTACACTGCAATACCAATAAAAATCCTATTTTTTCGATTGGACTCATAAACTATACTAGAGTCAATAGTAATTCCGGAACTCTATTTTTTTCAATAGTTTTTATTTTCCGGAAAATGTATTTCCGGAATGCAAATACCTATTTTCCGGAAATGGTTTAATTCAGACAGATACATGTTCTCCAGAAGTAATTATGTAAAATGTGTTTTTCGGAAATTATGACATTGCGGAAGCTATAAGTACATTTTCCGGAATTAGTTTATTTTCCTGAAAGTATTTTCAGCAAATAATTCCGGAACTCAATTTTATTTTTAATTGTTTCCGGAATACTATCATGTTTAATATTCCGAAAAATAACAACTTAGAATACTTATACTTTTCCGGAAAACTTGATGAATATATTTAAGAATTCCTGCATTTTAGTTATTTTAATTATCAAGTCGAACCTCATACACCCAATATCAGATAACCTCATTTTAGGATAGGGTTTTAAATATGTGCGCCACTGGATGGGGGATCTGACTAAGCAATACCTTTTAATTAAGATATCCCACACAAAATATTATTTTTATGATTTTTAAAATAATAATATTTTTTTAATAGATGATGGCATTAACCTGCCTTTTTCTTGCTGGAAAAGTAGAAGAAACGCCTAAAAAGTGTAGAGATTTGGTTCAAATGGCTAACGACAAATATCCAATACAATTTGCTGGAATAAATTTAATTGTTTGTTACTAGATAGTTCATTAATCTTTAATTATTTTAAAGGATGAATTAATTCTGCTTGAACGCATTTTGCTGCAATCAATTCGTTTTGATCTCCATGTTGAACACCCGGTGAGATTTTACTTTATTAAAAATTTTCCGGAAAAGTTTTTTCGTTTTTCGGAAATAGTTGGAAAAATTACTCTAATTATTTCCGGAAACTAAAGTATTTTGGGGCTTGTAATAGGTTTTGAAAATATGTATTTTCCGGAAAACTATTTTCTGTTAATATTTTTTCCGGAAAATTGTATTTCGTAATATAACTCTGGAAATAAAATGTGTTTTCCGGAAAGCTGTTTCTATTTATATTTATTTTCCGGAAAGTTGTACTTTGTAATATAACTCTGAAAATAATATGTATTTTCCGGAAAGCTATTTTCTGTTTATATTTATTTTCCGGAAAATTGTATTTTGTAGTATAACTCTGAAAATAAAACGTGTTTTCCGGAAAGCTGTTTCTATTTATATTTATTTTCCGGAAAATTGTATTTCGTAATATAACTCTGGAAATAAAATGTGTTTTCCGGAAAGCTGTTTCTATTTATATTTATTTTCCGGAAAGTTGTACTTTGTAATATAACTCTGAAAATAATATGTATTTTCCGGAAAGCTATTTTCTGTTTATATTTATTTTCCGGAAAATTGTATTTTGTAGTATAACTCTGAAAATAAAACGTGTTTTCCGGAAAGCTGTTTCTATTTATATTTATTTTCCGGAAAATTGTATTTCGTAATATAACTCTGGAAATAAAATGTGTTTTCCGGAAAGCTGTTTCTATTTATATTTATTTTCCGGAAAATTGTATTTCGTAATATAACTCTGAAAATTATATGTGTTTTCCGGAAAACCGTCTATTAATATTTTAAATACTTTCCGGAAAAGTTCCTTGCTATAATATATATTCTATTAAAATACTTTCCGGAAAATACAATTAAAATTAAACCTTTTTAGTATAACTTTCTGGTGCAATATGCAAAGGAATTTAGACTTGATAAGGATTATATGAGCAAAATTGTGGTAATAATATTTTTACTTTTCCATTTCAAAAATAAACTTTAAGACAAATGCCTGGACTTTTATTAATGATTCATTAGCAACCAGTCTTTGTTTATTATACGAACCGGAAGTTATTGCTGTTGCTGTTCTTTATATGTCGTTTAAAATGGAAAAAATTGCCTCCCCGTTGTCTTTGGAAGGAGAGGAAGCAAAAATGGGGGAAGATACTGAATGGTGGAATATTGTGAATTTTTATTTTTAATTTAAAAATTAATTTTCTTTTAAAAGTATGTGCAAAATTTGGCAGTTAAAACTATGGAGGATATCTGTCATAAGGTAATAAAAATACAAAATTCCGGAAAATAAATTATTCATACAAACCAGAATTTTATTATAACTATAGTTCTGAAAATAATTATATGCCCATGTATTTTCCGGAAAGTATTTCAGGCTATTCAGAATTCTGGAATAACTATACATAGTTATGAAAATACATGTATTTTCCGGAAGCTATTCTATTACAATTTTATTTTATACTTTCCGGAAAATACATGTATTGGAATATAATTATTCTGATATATATTACTAAAAATATTATTCTGATTAATTTTTAGGTGTTGGACTGTGTGGAGGATGCAGGTGTAGAAGACATTGACGAAACGAGTAATTTAGCTTATAATTAAAATTGTTATTTAGTTTGTTAAATTTGTTTTTTTTTAATTGGCAAAGGAAACCAATTAGCCGAGGAATTAGGTCATAATTTTTGATGGAATGGATTTGACAGGGCGTGAACAACTTTGCAATCAATGATTAAGTATTTCTGTAGGTTGAAAAGGAAGGGATTTTAAGTTTTTTTCTCAAGTAGTGTAGGAAAATGTGGAAGAGACCCAGCTTAGTTAATGTTTAAAACAGATTAGGGAGGGATATGTAAAATCTGTGAGAGAAAAAGCATAAAAACATAGCTCGATGGTTCAAAACAAATGGGGAAATTTTTTGTCTTTCAAAGGGAATACACAGAGAAATGTAGAAAAGCTTAAATCTAATTCTTTTGTTCTTAACTCAAAATTTAAAAGTTTTCCGCCAGACAATTATACTTCGGATACAACAAGTAATGCGCCCCCAGAACCGTCAGATTCGTCATCAGCGCTGTCAATTAATGGAACGTCTACAGAACCAATTGAATCGTCAACCGAAACAACAATACAACAGACCGGACCATCAAACGAGGAAACCAAATCAAGTGCACAAACACCAACAATTATTGCCATTTTTTATACGAATGATGAACAACAACAACAACCTTCTTCTACTACAAAGACAACACCCCCTTCACTTCACTTTCAGCGCCTTTTGATTTTTTGCTAAGCTCAGATCCTTCAGTTTTAGGCGAACCACCACCTGGCGCTAGATTTTGCATCTCCAAATCTTCTTATTCTCCCGGCTTATTTAAATTGAAATAAAAATAAGCGCCGACTCCAATGCCAGCAGCCAGTCCCAGGGGGGGAATGGCAATTCCCAGCCCTATATATAATTTTAAAAAATTATGTGTGGTTGTTTGTTGTTGTGTTTCTTCTTTTTTTCCTCCTTTTTTGGCTTTGTTGTTGTCGTGTAGGTTGTCGTTGTCGTGGTGGTGGTCGTTGTCGTGGTTGTAGTTGGTGTTGCTGTTGTCGTGGTGGTGGTCGTTGTCGTTGTTGTAGTCGATGTTGTCGTTGCTTGATTGTTGTGGCGATGGTTGTTGTTGGTGTTTTCTTTGTAGTAGAAGAAGGTTGTTGTTGTTGTTCATCATTCGTATAAAAAATGGCAATAATTGTTGTTGTTTGTGCACTTGATTTGGTTTCCTCGTTTGATGGTCCGGTCTGTTGTATTGTTGTTTCGGTTGACGATTAAATTGGTTCTGTAGACGTTCCATTAATTTACGGCGCTGATGACGAATCTGACGGTTCTGGGGGCGCATTGCTTGTTGTATCCGAAGTATTATTGTTTGGCGGAAAACTTTTAAATTTTAGGTTAAGAACAGAAAAAGTAAGATTAAGCTTTTATATAACCTTTGTCTGTGTATCCCCTTTGAAAGTCAAAAAAATTCCCTATTTGTTTTGAACCATCGAGCGAAGTTTTTATGCTTTCTCTTAAAGATTTTACATATCCCTCCCTAATTTGTTTTAAATATTAACTAAGCTGGGTCTCTTCCATTTACCTACACTACTTGAACCAAAACTAAAATCCCTTCTTTTCATCCCACAGAAAATACTTAATCATTGATTGCAACGTTGTTCACATTATGTCAAATTCACTCTATCAAAATTTTTATCCAATTCCTCAGCTAATTGTTCTCCTTTGTCATATACTTATTGTGTTACATGCTGATATTATTTATTAAATTATTTTGGCCATTTTTGGAATTTTTTGTTTAAAATAATTATTTAAAAAAATATGTATCTCAAAAACTGATTTATTTTATTAAAATTATTAAAAATTGAAATTTTTTGGTTTCGTAAAAATAGAAAAATTTTAAATAAAATTAGGGTTGGGGGCCCGGGCCGAAAATCCGAGTCGGGCTTAGAATTTTGGCCCGAAATAGACTCGGTCGGGCCGGCCCGATAAAAATGAGGCCCGAAAAAATGACTTGAAAAAATATGGCCCGACTCGAAAACCCCAACCCCAATATAAAACAAACTATTATAAAAATTAAAAGAAAATTCCTTTCCTATTAAAATTAAGCAGAATAAGCATTCGATGTAACTCGTCTTCCTTTTCCTGTCCAATTTGTATGTAAAGCAATTCCTAGATTAGAAAGAAGTTGATAACAATGAGCACCAAAATAGTCACGCCTTAAATTTAAAATTTTTTTAAGAATTCCTTAAAATTAAAAAAAAACCCGTAATAAATTAGCTGGTAAAGCTTCAGAACGATAACAATCAAAAAATACATAATAAAAGCACTAAATGCAGGCAGTGGAATACCGGGTTGAACGGCAGTAGAGATGACTTCACATTAAGAATTCTAAAAATAAAAAATATTTTATTTAAAAATTTTTAGGTTTCGAAAAATTTTCAAAAAAATTTTGAAAAAATTTTTCAAAAAAATTCAAGAAATATCAAAAAAATTTTTTAATTTCCAAAAATAGCGAAAAAAAATTCAAAAAAATTAACCTGAGCATTCTTCATCTCATCAAGAAAGAAATCATCCAAAAGATCCAAAACGTTTGCTGTGCCTCGGCTCCATACCGGCATTGAGGCGTATTTTTATTGTCGCCTGTTGTTGTGGCTTATCTATTACGCCACAGTTGTCATCGATTCGGAAGTTATTTTCTATTTTATTACTCAGCCCCAACGCCCAGGCCACTTTCCTTCGCCCTACATTTCTTATGACAAGTTTGTAGGGCCTTTCCACGTCAAACGGCGCGTTAAAAACGAGGCGGCTGGCAGGCACAGTGGTGATTGGAGAAGGCAGAAGTTGGGCCATTATTGAAGTTAACCTAAATTTGGCTTTTATACTAGTCTTTAGACGTAACCCTAAGTAGGGCTCGGATTTTGTTTAAATAAATCACTGAAGCCTGCCCGCTAACTGTCTCTCTATTTTTTATCACATCTATCACTGGTCATTTCTGTGTGTCTTCTATTCGAACTCAATGGTCAGACACTGGTCAGTCAAGGCCTGTTCAGGACCAAGGCCGTTTTTGTGCCCTATTTAAATATTTAAATATAAATCCGAGCTCTACTTTTACGTTGTATTATAAAAGCCATTAGTTTGGGGTGAAAAAGCAATAAATTAATAAGTTGGGAAATAAAAATATTTTTAATTTGATGAAATTTCAACAAATTGGAAAAAATTCAAAAAATTTCATGAAATATTTATCGAAAAAAATTTTTAAACATAATTTCTAAAATATAATGTAACCCGTCTTCCTTTTCCTGTCCAATTTGTATGTAAAGCAATTCCTGGATTAGAAAGAAGTTGATAACAATGAGCACCAAAATAGTCACGTTGTGCCTTTAATTTTAAAAGTTTTAAAATTTCTTAAAACTAAGAAAACCAGTAAGTAATAAACTAGCTGGTAAAACGTCGGAACGATAACCATCAAAAAATGCTAATGCAGCAATAAATACAGGCATTGGAATACAGAGTTGAACAGCTGTAGAGATGACTTCACGCAAAGAATTCTTGAAAACTATTTTATTTAAAAATTTTTAGTTTTCGAAAAATTGCTAAAATTTTCAAAAAAATTCAAGAAATTTTAAAACATGAAAAAATTCCAAAAAGAATTTTTCTAATTCCCAAAAATCGCAAAAAAATTTAAAAAATTAACCTGAGCATTCATCGCATCAAGAAAGTATATACAAGTTTCGGACCAATTTGAATAGGATCAAAATCTTCTTTAGCCCTAAAGAGGGCTGTTTAGGATTGTGCTCTCAAGAGGGCATTTGATACCTGGCGCTCGACGCCAGCTTCTGCGGAACCTTTCTCCCTGGTTCGCAGGAATATTAAAGGTTACAAACCTTATATACAGACCTTCCTGTGGCTGAGAGGGCTCCCAGATTATACTGGTTCGGAGCTCTTCTTGCGGTCTGATCACACCGCATATATCAGCCACTCCAATTTTCTCACAAAAATTGGACTGAAATGCGAACGCCACTGGGCGTCGGCCTACGTTTTTGATAAGGAGCTCATGCGCTGTCTTAAATTGAATGGAACATTTATTACCATTAACAATTAAAATGATTACTTGTCTCAGGAAGTAAAATAAACCCTTGAGCATAACTAACACCTTTTGGAAGCATTAGGCCTTTAAAAATAAATTTTTAAGAAAAAGAAAATTAAAAAAAACCTGTCCAAGATTATTAATAAATAAATTTATATACATAATAATTTCTTTAAATTTCTTTTATAGTCCAGATAGAACTAAAGTAGCACAAATACGTTGTTTCTTTAGAGATTGGCCTTAAACAACAGGCAAAAACTGCATCGGCTGAAAAAATAAAAATTATTTGAAATGGATGGGGGCTAGGCGGCGGAACGACCAACTCACGGAATGACTAAAACACGGAATATTTTAAAAATCAGAATATTTTTAGAAATCGGAAGTTTTCAGATTTTTTTAAATTCTATTTTTTAAGTCTCATTTTTTTAAAATTATTCAGACTCAATAAATTCCATTTTTTAAAATATTCCGTTTTGGTCATTCCGTGAGTTCGTAAGTACGTGACTTGTCCGTTCCGTGAGTTAGCCCGACACGATTTACAATAAAACTAAAATATACCAATTAAAGTAACAAGAATTCCATATTCAAGTTAGTATTAAACGATTCCTCTCATCGAGCAAAAGAGATTGGTACCAAAAATTGATAAAGGCCAGAAATTTTCCAGCAAGTTATGGCTTTGCGCCGTTATTGCCGCGCGACTATTTGGGCGTGTCCCTTTAAAGTTAATTTTAAATTTTTCCAAAAAATTTCTAAATAATTTGGAAAAAAGGAAATATGTAAAACAAACTTTTTTAAACAACCTTTTGAGCAGAGTCAAGTATTTTCGGCACTATTAGCCCCCCATCTTCACCACGATAACATAAAATATTTGCAGTAATTTCTATCAAAAAAGAGTCGAGTTTCGCTTTATTCCAATCCACAAAAATCTTAAAAAAATCAGTCAAAGAAAATTTTTACTTATAGGAGGTTTTTAGTGAGTGGACGGTTATGGACGTATGAGGTGGAAGGGTGGGAGAAGTTTGTCCAGTACCTAGGGGCCTATTCCTTTTTAGCGATTCTCTGCCTAGAATGCCGCCCTATCCTCCGTAGCAACAACTAGCATTAATTCGGTTGATCATAATTTGACACGGCGATGAGTATGGTAGTCGAATCAGTTCGAGGAGCCCATAATAATAAGATATTATTTGTCCATCCACTCATTAAAAACTGAACTTATGCAGTTTGGGTACACACCCATTTATTCGCGAGACACATCCTCATTTATTAGGCGAATTGACTAACAACCCGTTTATTCGCGAACTAGCAAGAAGCCTATATTACAGCGTACTAAACAAAGCAGCTCTCGACTCTATCGAGACGCGTGATGGTTAACGCTGCATGATCCGAGGAATTATGCCCAAGCGTTTTCCCGACCTCAATATGGTTACTTTGACCATTTTTAGCATGCGAATAAATGGGGTGTGTACCCAAAATGCATGTTCCTTAAAAACCTCCTATGAGTGAAGAGTAACCTAGTTTATTTAGAATTTATCAAAAAAAACCTCAGCCATTTTTGTAAAATCAATTCCCAATCTTTACTGATTAAATGGAAAGCTTCACAAATTAATTGCAGATGGCCATACTCGATTCCATTTATGATCCATTTTAACAAAATGCCTAGAACCTTCAATCCCCACCCATTCACAATATGGAAGGCCATCTGGGGCTTTTGCTACGATTCCTTGAAAAATTTGGTTTTAAACGTTCCCAAGCTTCTAGAGAACCACCAGGCATTAAAGAAGGCTGAAAAAATAAGTAAAATTGGATGTCAGAGAAAAACACGTCGGCGCGCGGCCATGTAGGCGCAAAGTCATAATTTGTTTCAAAATCTCGGGATCTTATTAAATTTAGTATTAAACGATTCCTCTCATCGAGCTAAAGAGATCGTTATCAAAATTGTTAAGGGCAAGAGATTTTTCAGCTAGTTATGGCTTTACGCCCACATGGCCGCGCGCCGAAGTGTCCCTTACCTTTTCTATTTGTCCCCCCATTTCATTATGCTCCTCATCAAATAAATCAAAGTCAAAATTCTCAGCTTCTGGTCTAATTAATTTATTTAATAAATTAAATAAAAATCCTTACAATAGAAATCTCCAATAATTTTTCACGAGCAAGTTCGTATTCAAAATTATTAATAAAATCACGAAAATATAAATTTTTTTGTTTAATTGAACATATGTAATTGCTGATAGTTGAAGAATTTAAAAACATCCAGTTTTGTCTTTGTTGGTAAAGAATAAAGCATTTTTGAGGAAAGTTTAAATTTAGCACTAAAAATCTAGGAGCTAGAGATCGGAATTTTGAAAAAAACGGGACCGGGAACCGGGTTCTGAAGGTCGACCGGGAGGGACCCGGACCGGGAAAACCGGGAATTCCCGATCCCGGTTTCATCCCGGCATCTTCAAAAAAGCCGGGAAAAAGGACCGGGAAACCGGGAAACGGGACCGGGTCCCGATCCCGTTCCGATCTCTACTAGGAGCGAGCCATTTGAGTACCGCCAGTTGAGTACCCGCCGAATTTGATAGGATATAACTTTTTGCTGCTTGATCCAATACGAATGAATCTTATATCTTTCGAAAGCCCTCGATAAGCGCTATCTTTTACCCAACTGGATGGATCATGTCTGATCGCCCAATAAAAAGTTACAAGTCGATAAGTGCCCGAAATCGTTGTTTTTCACTATTTTAAGTCAATAATTTTAAAAAAAAATTTAAATAAAATCCTCTTATCACGAGTACTTGTACAAATCAATTCATTAAATTAAAACATTTTTTGCCAACTATCTTGTCGATTTTTGAGAGGACGGACAGTCTTTCGTAAAAATCCGTCTAAAAAAATTTTGAGCGCGCGCACCCTTAAAATTTTAAAAATTTTTTAAAGGGCAAAAATAAATATTTTTCAACGCTATTTTAATTTTCTTTTTCTCTAATTTGATAAAAAATACAAAAAATTATCTGGAAATCAATTCTTTGTGGCAATAAATTCGATAAATTTTGCCAGTCCATTTAACGGCCTCTTCTCAGCCCTCCATATATATACAAGTATCAACCCCCCTAATTTAACCAGTTTACTCAAAAAAATTTTTAAAATCACAACCCGTCCTTTAAAAGAAATTTTCTTTAATATAGAAATGCGTGAAAAAGCAAAATTTTTGTTAATTTTTGCTTTGATTCTCGCTTCGAATTTTAGTGTTGGCGTTGTTGCGAATGGTTTTGATAAAGGTATTAATATTTAAAACCGTTTGTGGACACCCTTGGTTAGCTCCAAGAGGCCTGTTTTTATTCAAGTTTCCCTAATAGTATTTATAAGAGGTAAAATTAAAAATTGCCTCAGGCAAAGTAGACCAAAGTGCAATTGATCAAGTGTTGTGGCATCAAACAGGCAATAGGGTTCCCATTTCCCAGTCCTTTACGGGGTTTTTTTAAGATGCCGGGATGAAACCGGGATCTGGAAGACCCAGATTTACCGGTCCGGTTCCGGCCGGTTAATTTTCTTTTTCAGTTCCCATTTTTTTCAAAATTCCGGTCTCTAATTCTTGTATTATAATTAAAGTCGATTTTTGTTTTTGGTCCATTTTTTATTTCTATAGATTTCGTGTTAGAATAAAGTTAAAAAATTTAAAATGAATATTTTTAAAAATATTTTTATTCATTTTTACAGAGGGAGTGTTAAAAGAAGATCGCATTGAACGTTTACAAGAAATTGCTGAGATAGATGATTCAACTGGAATGCCTCGTGGATGTGAATACCCAACTGATCCGATACAATTCAAGGAGTATGAATATCTTAAAGAAAAGGAGCAATATAAAAACCTTTTCAAAACATTTAAAAAAGCCTTTGAAGGACTGGTAAATAAAGTAATAGAATTTGCACAACAAAATTTACTAAATATTAAACTAAATCCTGATCAAGCTGAAGTTATTGCAAATGAATTAAAAGAGTATGATAAAACTGTCGAAAAATCACAAACAAAGATGAAAATGCAAGAGGTAAAGGAACTGGACAAACTTTCAGTTTTAGTTCTATTAGCGTTTCTAAAAAGGGAGCAAAAACAAAAATAGGCATATTATAAGTAGGGAACGGATTTATATGGATTTCCATATTTTTATCCTGGCCTAGCTGGGTCTTGAAACGTTCAAAAAACATAGTTTTAGCATATGTTGATAAGACAGATAATGAGTTATCAATCCATATTTTCCATATTTTTCCATATTTTAACGTTCGGTCCATATTTTCCATATTTCGTCCATATTTCGTCATTTTTTGTAAAATTTTGCCAAAAATTGGTCAAAATTTTAAAATTTATGAAATTTTTTGGGCAAAAAAATTTTTATAAAAATTTTTTGGAAAAATTTTTTGAAAAATTTTTTCATCAAAAATTTTTGAAAAAATTTTCGACACAAATATTATCCGAAGTATTTTTAGAAACAAAATAATCACTATAAATTGATTTATTTTTAATATTATGCATCAAAATTAACTTAATTAGCATTTTGCTGCTTAAAAATGCAAATTTTGCGTTGAAAATTTTCAGTTTTAGGCCCATATTTGATCCATATTTTGGATTTTAATCCATATTT